GGGGGGGGGGGGGGCCTCCCGCCCTGAGCCCTGGAACATATATGGTTCTTCTAGTAGAAGATTCTAAATCTGATAGGAGGATCAATGGAGTTCCGGTAGTTAAATGATCTTTTAGTAGAAGATGATTCTAAATCTCAGACAGGAGTTCTCGTTATCCATCCAGGAATGAATACACTGCCACTCTTACCACGTACGAGTAGCAATCTTGTTCAACCTCCCGCTTCAATTTTGACATCAATCACCAACTGCACCATCTATAATTCGTTATCATCTCCTCATCTTCAATCCGCAACCTCATCTCTCACGACATCCACTTTCGCACTTCCACTTAATAGATGCATTATCCAAAACGCACACTACACCTATTAGGTTGAGTCCGCGCTCGCGAAGGACATTGCTTGGCTGAGGGGGGATTTCATTTCTATGATCTCCAGACGCGTGGTGCGGCCATTATCAACACGCGGAAGGCGTCTAGCGCACTTTCAGCAGCAAGGGGGATCTCGAACCACATGCACGATTGGATCTGCGGAACGGACGTAGCTGGAGAGTACGTCTCCATGGCTGTGTTCACCGACGGATCGGATGGGTAACAATTTTTTGATGGTTTTGTCAGAACGAATAATTAATTTTTTTCTGTTCCCAGATACTGTAGTTGTGGTTCTACTGTTGTGCTAGAAGAACTAGAAGTTCCCTCCAGCACACTTACTTTCTTACGTACTTCTACAACTGAATATTATACATATTATAGTAATAGCATTCAACTCCCTCATCAAACCTACGACCACCGAACACAGATACGGCGTCGACAAGGGTCTGATCTATTCCTTTCCGGTGATGTGCAAAGGAAAGGGCGAGTACGAGATTGTCAAGGGATTGCCAGTTGACGATTTCTCAAGGCGGAAAATGAAGGCAACGGAACAGGAGCTCATCGAAGAACGCACTTTGGCGTTCTCGCTCGTCGGTTAAGATACGTTTAGTACGGTCTGCTGCTAGTCTGCTGCTTCCCTCCTGATAATGGGTGGTGTGGGAGATTGATATAGGTACATCGTTCGCTTAAAAATGAATTTATAGTTCTAGTTTTAGTGTAGTTATAGATGGAGATGAAGACGATCTACTGCTGTTACACTAGATCAGGAGTTCCATTCCAAGTTTTCTACAGGTTGATGAAAAAGTCAGATGTTATTCTTCATGTTCTTTAGAGTTTTAACATCAAGGTCAAGCCATAGGTTCTAGTGTAAAAAATTCAAAAATAGCGCAAAGGTGTAGCACGAAAGAATAGACTACGGCCCGCTATACCAATTTAAGATTTCTGGGTGATCTGGTGCGTGCTTCCGAATAGTTGTAAAGGTAGCACTATAACTAAATGTCATCATGTACAACTCATACTAGGAGAAGTGGGAATCTCCGATGAATGTGACTGCAATTCGCGGCCACATTTATTTCTAGACCTCTGCCAACCCTTTCAAGAAAACAAGACATTCTTCATTTCTTCGCTCCTAGCTTCCTTTCCTATTGATGATCAATGATGAAGCACCAAAGAACCCACTTCATTTTCCAAATTAAGTAAGGTCCCTTTTTCTGTCCACAACTACAAATGCTCAGGGGAACGAACTTCTGGCCACAACTACGCAATGATTTGATGAACCAGTCGCTAAGATGGAGAAGATCTCGCTTCGCAATAATCATCACTTCTAGGAAGAACCGAGGACACAGCCACACACTAGTACCCGCTGCACTAGTATTCTCCTTGCTTCACCAGAAGTTGAACTTGAAATTCATCAACATAGACAATAATTATTTTCGCTCAAGATAAGTATAATTCATCTAATTATGTTGTTAAAGATACCATGAAAAGCACTTTCTTACACGACCTTTTCTCATAGCTTTTTACATGTTTGTATTTTACTTGTGGTATTCCCATGATTCGCTTTCGCGCAGACGCCAATTGATTGATTGACGCCACGCCATATTGAAGAACCGAGATTTTGAGAACGCAAACAATCAATGAAACCGCGCAAGATATAGGCATAGGAGAAAATGAACTGCATCCGAAGTCTGTCAGCCAGTGTCAATAAAGACCAAAAGATCGGAGGAGTCATGGTTTACTAGGTCTGGCACCTCTTGTGTTTCGTTGTAGTTGAGACTGAGGCGAAAAAGGGTTTGCTTGCTTGGCTTGAGTTGAAAAAGGACAGTTGAGTTGAAAAGAAGGACAGTTGCTTGCTTGCGTTGAGTTGAAAAGAAGGTCAAAAATTGTCGTGGGAGGAAAAATGCAAAGACCAAAAATTATTCATCAAAGCGAAAGTCACTGAGAGGGATCCCCAAAACACCCCCCTTTCCCTAGCCAAAGCGGACACTTACCCTACGTGTAAGACGCCGGTCCCTTGCGCCTCCTTTAATCGATGTTGACGTGGTTACGGTTGTCTCAATAAAAATGTGTTATGCTACCCCATTTGTCAGGACGACGTAATCAGAGTGTTGTTTTCTATAGCTCTTACGATCATGATGAACCTCTTCCCTTGATATCGCTTCATTCATCAAATGAAATCATACATTGATTAATGTTTTATGCTCCGTAGAAGATTATCTACTTGGTTAGGTAGTCTTTTTTTGTCTTATCTACTTTACATAGACCTCGATGTCATGTAACTATTCACACGACAAGAAAAGGATGACATAATCTCTTGGCTGCGCGAAGGAGCGGTAGCAATCGCCGAGGAAATGCTGCTGTTCCCCTCTCTGTTCCGGTGGCCTCAAAATGTCAGTGCACTACATTCTCGCCGAGAGCGTAGAGGTGGACTGCTGTGGCGAGTGGCCCCATCTGCCTTACGATCGGGTGGAACAGTAGTACTACTATCGTCGGCATTTTCGTTGACCCCGTTGCACATCGGTCTTTGTTATGCTGCCGCGAGGCAGATGAAGCACAGGGATGATCAAGGTACAAAACGCTCGAATGATATTTGGATTTTCCATCATTGCTAGAACTCTTTGCAGTGTCGTACGTTGTATTATTCAATGTTGACAGCTTAAAAGACTGTTCTGGGTTTTATTATCCATTTTTGAGAAGTCCTCATCCACCTCTTCTCCTGTTTAGTCATTTCTTTGTTGCAGTCTGAAAAAAGATCCTCATCCTTTTGCTCTCCTACTTCATCAACATCAATATCATTCATTCAAGTTGAACCTATCATTCCACAGATTCTCCATGGGATCGAAAACCACCTGACATCAATGGCGGTGGTGAGGCGACCGATACCGATATCCCAGAAGATGAAGATCCCCATAGGGAAGCGAGTTTTGTCGTAGTATCAACGGGGGAAGTAAAGCGAGCCAGGAGCAGTGGTACAAAAGGCCTGAACGCAGGGCAGGCCGAGCTCGTCAAACAACAACTCCTGAGCATGGTTCCAGGAGGTAAGGTAAGAGAGCGAGTCAGTGAGCAGGCAGAGGCTGTTGACGTTGGCGCGCTGATAAAAGATGTACAAAGGATGAAGGCACAACTACTAGAGCACCTGATGGGCATCCGAGAACAAAATCAAGGAGAACGAGGCGACATGGAGATAAACTTGCAAGGCTTGCGCACGAAGGTAGAGCGGCTTCAAGTAGTCCTGCAGATGAAGTTGTCAGAAGTCAACTACGAACTAGAACTACAGGCTCAGCCTGATCGTCCGGCAGACTCGAACGGGTTGCTCCAAGGTGGAGATCAAAGGAAAATGGAACTTCGAATAGAGGACATCAGTGCGCAGCTAGCAGAAGTCGCAGAAACAGGAAAAGAACTGCAGCGTCTGGTCACAAAGCAAATAGAAGAGTTGGGCACGACAGTGCAAATCCAACAGGAACAGCTACAACATCTTCAAGATGCTGCTAGTACTGCGAAAGACACGATGAAAGAACAAGAAGAACGGGCTCAAGTTGAACGTGTAGATCAACAAGGAGATGCGAGCACATCAAAAATAAGTGGGATGTTCACGAAAGTAGAAATGCTGCAGCAACAACAAAAATATCAGCGAGAGGCAATGCAGAAATTAGTGAACAAGCAGGCACAGGCGACGAAAGATCTTAGACAGGCACTGGTGGTAGCTTTGCAAGCAGAAGCACAAGGGCAGCGACAGCAGCTGCCGACGAGTCCCACTACTAGTACTTCTCCACGAGAAGTTCGCTTTCGCATTCCCTCTCCGACCACTCCAGCGCAAATAGTGGCGTTTCTGGATGATTGGAACAATCCAGAACCTCCTGCTCAATTATGGGTACAGGTGTTATCTATACCTGAGAAAAATACCAAGCATCGCAGCTACGCCATCAAATTCGCAGCGCCAAAGCAGGGGAGCCCCACAACAGTGTGGCCTTGGAAGAAACAACTCCAGCTTCTCAACGATGAAGAGATTTTTGTGACTCTGTGTCGGTACAGCTATTTTTTTGAGTGGCATACCGCGGGGGGCCGTTATCGCGTAATAGATGGAATTGGCGTACCTTCAAAACATACTGCGGATTTTCAGGAGCAGATTCGTGGTGGAAAAACGAGCGATCAGCCTTTACGCCACGTGAGAGTAGGAGCTTTCACGCAACGCGGAGGCAGCGCGCCATTGTTTAGTGGTGCGAGTGGAGCTGCGGTGGCGGCGATCGAGAAATTACTTGAGGAGCCCGGTGACGGGTATGAGTTCGAAGTAGTGTGTGAAACGGAGACGAAGGAATGGCCGTTTGGCTCCAAACCGTATGAGGAGTACAGCGTGATCCACGTCAAATTTCAGAGGGAGGAAGTTTAAGTTATACCTGAGACTCTCGTATGATCCGAAGATACCGGTTCAATCTGTCGATGTTAGATTGTGAAACACAGTGTCCAAGTCCATGGCGATCAGAGTTGTAAGACCAGTGACAAACTCGTTCGAAGATCTTACAAGTTTTCCAGTGTAACTCTGTTCTGCTATTTTTGAGACGAAAAGTCCACGAGCTTGATGGTCCTCTCGCTTCGTCCATTGACATGGATGCAACAAGAAAACTTGCACTGGTCTGTTGGTGTTCAAGAGAACTGTGGGTAAGATGAAGAACAATACTTACCGAGCGAAGAAGAAGCAGAGGCCTCCACAATGTGACAAATTGTGCATCAGAAAAGATTAAGTATTCATCAAGTTCTTACCAACAAGAAGAAGAACAAGGACGTGGCTGCAAAAGGGTTGTAGTATCAGTGAGTACAATTGATTTTCAGGAAAGAAACCCACTAGCACTATCTATACATTGATTGAGATCTTGCTCCCGATATCCTTACTTTTTCTTGAGATCTTCTAAAGATGTCGTCTTCGTTCTCGTCTAATAATAATGCAACTTCTGCTGGTTCTGCTAGTAGCACGACTAGAGCTCCCGCGGGGAAGAAAAAATTATGGTCTGCGTCTTCCCTTTTGGCTCGTGATACACGGGATGTGCTCTCCGAGATCCAGGATGAACACGCATCTGCACTGGCGGTCGAAGCTGCGCGACATGCGGAGCTGCGGAGTGAGAAAGAAGAACGACGCACGACGTCTCACGCGAGAAGAGGCTCTTCCGGAGAAGATGAAGAAGTGGGTTCGATCGTGCAAGGTGGAAACTACACGTCTGCTGCGAAGAGAGAAATGGGTGGTGGAGAAATACGTGTTTCGTCTGCTGTTTCGTCTCTTGCGGGACGTGATAGTTATAAATGAAGATCTAGTTCTAGATGAAACAGAATGTCTAGTACTAGAGCTAGACTAGACTAGATCAGGAGTTCCAGTTCAAGTTTGTTATCGTTGACAAAGGTGATGGCACTCGTCATGTTTAGACTTTAGAGCTTTAACATCAACATCAAGCCATAGGTTATAGTGTAAAAAATGAAAAAAATCAAAATAACGCAAAGATGTGGTACGAAAGAATAGACCACGGACCGCTATAACAATTTAAGACTTCTGAGAAATCTGTTGAGTCTGAGAAATCTGTTGAGTGCTTCCGAATAGTTGTAGAGGTAGCACTATAATACCTAAATGTCATCATGTACCCATACGAGGAGAAGTAGGAATCTTCGATGAATGTGACTGCAATTCGCGGTCCCATTTGTTTCTAGACCTCTGCCAACCCTTTCAAGAAAACAAGAGATTCTTCATTTCTTCGCCCCTAGCTTCCTTCCCTATTGATGATCAATGATGAAGCACGAAAGAACCCACTTCATTGTCCAAATTAAGTAAGGCCTCGTTTTCCAAACATTAGGAAACTTTCTATGACATAGTTTTGTCCTATCGTCATCTAGTTTCACCCTTCGCCTAAGAGCGTTTGAGTAGAAAATGCTCAGGGGCAATGAATAAAGATTTTCAATAGGAAGAAGAACACGACGCTACGCAGTAATCTAGGAAGAAGCGAGAACACAGACACACACTCGTACCCGGTTCACTAGTATTATCCTCGTAGGTTCGCGTTCGCCGTCTCACAAGTTGAGCCCGAAATTCATCAGCATAAGCAGTAATCATTTTCGCTCAGCAAAGTATGAGTATTATGTTATGAAGATACTTAGATAATATGATCATGAAGAGCACTTTCTTACACGACTTTTTTTCATAGCTTTTTACATGGCATTGCTTGTGGTTGTGGTATTCCTATTCGCGCAGACGCTACACAAGATTGAACCGAGACGTTGAGAAAGCAAATAATGAATTAAATCGTGCAACATTATCGTTTGCTGAGATAGGCACAGCAATAGGAGATAATGAACTGCCTTAGAAGTCTGTCGGCCCCTCTTAGAGACCAAGATTGTAGAAGTGGAATTATGGCAGCTGGTGTTTCATTGTTGAGACTGAGGTGAAAATGGTTGACGCAGGAGAGTTAAAAGACGGCGAAAGCTTGTCGTGGGAGAAGAAATTATGGAAAAGCCGAATATTATCAATCAAAGTGAAAATCGCTGAGACGAGCACCGATCTCCAGCCTACTTCCCTTTCCCTAGCCAAAACCGACACTCGCCCTACGTACTACAAGGCGCCTCTTCCCGTTCTGTTCCACCTCCAAAAAATCGATGGTGATGTGGTTTTTCTAATGTTTCGTCTTCGTGCTATCCCCGACTTTGATGACTAAGTTTTATCTTCATTTATTGGTCACAATGTTCTTGTTTTCTATAGCAGCTCCTACAACTACCAAATTAGTACCGCTAAGATTTCTCGTTCATCAATTCCTACATTTATGTTTCCTGCTACTTGGCAGACTGTCATCTACTAGTCTTACTTTTTTGCCTTCTTGACGGCAGAAGTAGATAGACCTCGAGTCGATGTCTGTGCACACGACAAGAAAAGCATGACGTAATCTCTTGTCAGAGCAGACACACCCTGAGCGAAGAAGCGGTGGCAGTCGAGGAAATGCTGCTCTTCCCTTCCTTTTTCCGGTGGCCTGAAAGTGTCAGTGCCCTACGTCCTCGTCGAGGAGAGCGGAGAGGTGGACTCCTTTGGCGGGTTGGTCAGTCTGCATTCCGATTGGGTGATACAGTTTCACTATTGTCGTCGGCATTTTCGTTGACCCCGTTGCAGATCGGTCTTTATCATGCTGCTGCGAGGCAGGTAGAGCGCAGGGATGATCAGGGTACAACAGATTTCTCTAATGGTAATTGGATTATTGTTCGACTGAGCTTTTTTGTATCAATATTAAGTGTTGACTTAAATAAATTTAAAAGATCGTTGTTTTTATTATCCATTTTTGAGAAGTCCTCATGATCCTCTTTTTGAGAAGTCGGCAAGCTATCAGACTAACGGGTGTCACAGGGTCACGAACTGAGCTACGACCGGTGTTCTGCAATCCCAGATCCGAAAGGGAGGAGCTACTGCTGGAAGAACACACAAAGGAAATTTTGGATGAAAGGACAAGGGTGGCGAAATACTGCGAAGATGCATTGCTAGTGCCTACCTTAGCGTGTCCGGCGAAAATGCGAGAGGATGAAGCAGGAATAGAGGCGATCTACGGCAAGCAAACAAAGGAGATTCGGATGAGCAAGTGGAGTTTGGCTATGCCGTCGCGTACGATTCTGAAACTCAAGCGACATGGATCGTTAAAATTTCGGAGGTGTCGAAGCCTTTAGCCACTGAACAGTGCAGGACTCACGTTGGTAAGCAAGACCCGGGCGCTTATTCGACGTGGTTTGCCAAAACGAAAACGCAAGTGCTACTGCGTGCGACTGTAAGCGTGCTGATCCGGAATCTTGGTGAGCAGGCTTCAGGCTCCAAAATCTTGGTCTACAACTTTGCGGATTCACTTCATAAACGTGCAGTGATCGCCCGAGAATTCTACTTGCTGGCCGCGTCGTCCAAAGTCGCCACAGTTGTCGCTCCTCCTCCTTTCTACGTCGAACAAGCATGGCGAGGTGCATGGGCTCCGAAGACAGTCCTACCGGCTGAAGATGATGTGCGGTTATGCCATTTTGAGCCTAGCTGTCGCACGGTCAAAGTCGAGGAGCCTCTTGCGGTTCAGCTAAAGGAGAAGATAAAGGAAATCGGTGGTATGCTTTTGACACCTGCAAAATTGCGAAAGGAAATAAAAGTGGCACTCGAAGTTCCACAAGACGAAGCTACAGGTGAAGGGGAAGATGGAAGTGAAAGAACTAAGGAACCTGTAGGTTGAAAGGTGCAGTCGTAGAGGGTGGCAAAAAATGAAAGAGCGTGCATTTGAAAAGCCTTCAAGGTAAAAATGGGCTTCTACTTCTTACGCCATTGCTGAAAAATATTGTGTACTAGAAGTGAAGGCACTTTTTTTGGTTGTGTTGTAGTTATAACTTGTAAAAGGACAATAGTTGAAGAAAGCTTGGCTAAAAGTTAAGTTGTTGTTGCGAAACTGAAGTAAGTTCTAAACTGTTGAAGGCCACGAGTTTCAAGTAAACTCTATCAAAAGGTGTTGAGAAAGAGGCTGTTGTAAGTTGAATAAAAGGTAGATGCAGGAAAGGACTGGATTGTTGAAGGACACTTACGACTGGGGGGGATGAATGAAAGGGGTTGGAAGGATAAAGGGTTAGAAAAAGTCAGAAGGGGATGCTGACAAGAGGCAAGGGCGAAGGTGGAAGCTGATGAGAAGAAGGGCGAAAAGGAGAAAGCGGCGAAGCAGGAGGTGAAGATGATGACGACTCAAGAAAGTTGGTCATCGGTCCAAAAGTGGTCGGTCTTACATAAGGAAAGGATCAACTATGAAGAAGAAAAACGAAAACAGCAGTCAAAGAACACATGAAAGAAAGTGATAATGCAAGAAGTAGAAGAAGAAAGGGAAGAAAATAAATTGGGTTGGGTGGGATTTGAAGGTGAGTCAAGGGACATAATAAAGGGGGGGGGCCTGCTGCGAAAAAAGTGGATGTTGTAAGCCCACACTCGAAGGTCTGTAGTTCTCTACCACCTCGTGGCTGCCTGTGTCATTGGTGTTTTTTGGCTTGCTTTCGGCCCGCCTCTTTGCGTAGACTGATATGGAGTTGCCCGCTGTGCGACCGTATTCAGGATAGTGACTACCATGCTAGGTCTGTAGCGTTGGTTCTTGCTCTTCACGGCTTAGTACGTTACTGTACGCTTCTTGGAAGAAATTCCTCGGGGCCTGGTCTCAACGCTGGTTTGGAAAATCAGATTGGAGACACATGGCATGACGTCCTCTTCTGTTTAGTCATTTCTTTGTTGCAGTCTGAAAATAAATTTATAAATTCTTTTGTTCTCCTGCTTCTTATGATCATCAATATCATTCATTGACGCTGATGAACCCATCCTTCGACAGATTCTCCATGGGATCGGAAACCACCTGACACCAATGGCGGTGGTGAGGCGACCGACACTGATACCCCAGAAGATGAAGATCATCCCCATAAGGGCGCGAGTTTTGTCGTTCTTTCCACGGGAGAAGTAGAGCGAACCGGTGAGGCTGCATCTAGTGGGATTGCCGATCAGCTAAAAGAAGTATAAGGGATGCAAGAAAAACTAGAGGCGATGCGCACGAAAGTACAATGTCATGGAGGACTAGAAGAGCTGCGCGGGATGAAGACGACGTTAGAAGAGTTGCGCGTGGAAGTAGAACTGCTACAAGCAGTACTGCAAATGAAGCTGTTAAATAGTGTTAGAAGTCAACTACAACAAGGCATGGAGATGCAATTGCTGAGGTGGTGAAACGGCCAGTAGGCGACATCAATACGCGGCTAATACCAGTGGAACAGAAGGGAGAAGAAGAAGAACGACAACAACAGGCCGCACAACAAATAGGCGAGTTGAGCGCGAAAGTGGAACAGCTACAACAAAAACATGATCAGCAGAATTTAGTCACACAAGAACAAGAAGCAGAAGTGCGAGGTGAAGCTGCTCCATCGAAGTAGTACTATAGACCAGTTTATAGCACGAATGGTGCATGGGACGAATGGCACGAACGGCGCACCCCAACAGACCCCAAATGGGACGAATGGCGAGGTCGATCGCGGTCACGGATTGCGCCCCCCCCATCCGTGCCATTCGTGCCATTCGATCCATGCCATCCAATATCTGGAACCCTTATAAACTGCTCAAGTACTATCGCAAAGGCGGAGAAGGTGGCGCCGGGCCAAGAACAGCCAGAGAAACATACGAGCACATCAACAATAAGTGGGATGCTCGCGAAAGTAGAAAAGCAACGAGAACAACAACAGCTGCAACGAAAAGAGATGCAGGCATTGTTAGACAAGCAGACACAGGCCACGAAAAGGTTACAACAGGAACTGGCGGTAGCTTCGCAAGGTGCAGTAGAAGGACAGCGACAGCAGCTCGCGACGGTTCCTACTACTACTTCTCCACGAGAAGTTCCGGTTACCTCTCCGGGCACTAGTATGGCTCGCAAAATGATAGGAGTACAAGACATAGTGCCGTTTTTAGATTGGACCAAACCAGAACCTCCTCAATCAGGTGTACAGAGTGTGAGTATTGCTACGGAGCGTCGTCGCGATTACGCCATCTTCAAATATGAAGCGCGACCACAGGACCAATCAGTGTGGCCTTGGGAGCGACAGCTCCAGCTTCTCAACGATGAGCAGATTTTTGTGACTCTGTGTCGCTACGACTACAATTTTCAACAAGATACGAGCGGGGTTTTTCCTTCCCCAAAAGATAGATTTGGCGTAGCTACCGCTGCGGACTTCGAGGAGCAGACTCGCGGTGGGAAAACGAGTGGTCAGCCTTCACGCCACATCAGAATAGGAGCTTTCAGCAGGCAACACGTACTCGGAGGAGGCGGCGAATTTTTTGGGGGTGCGAGTGGAGCTGCGGTGATGGCCATCAAGAAGTGGCTGGCCAATCACTCCTCTGTTGGGGATCATCTTGAGTTCGCGATAGAATGTGAAACTGAGTCGAAGGAATGGCCGCTCGGCAGCAAAGCGTATGAGGTGTATGCCACTATCTATGTTCAGTTTCGGAAGAATATCCCAGAAGAATGATCCGAAGATACCGATTGAGCCTACGAATGGCGCGAAGGGTAAGCACATGCAAAAGGCACATGACCAATTTGTTGTCAGAAACATGACTAACACGTTAGATCTTACCTGATTATTCTTTGTGTATTTGTAGTGTTGTGTTATGGTGCTGCTACTGAGGTGAAGTACTGTACAGAGGTTGCTATTGGCTGCGTTGGTATGCAAGAGAACTTGCGATGTTGCTCAAGGAAGAGAAAGAAAGAGAGGGACATCAAAACTTTCCGAGAGAGAACAGAAGCCCGTATCAGACCCAAAGACCATCAAGAAAAGCGATTAACTACCTCAACACAAGAAGAAGTAAGTAAGACCGAGAGCATAGTGGTGTTGTGGTCTCCATAGACATTCTGTGCAATATTTGTTGCGCCTGAGGTGAAAGGGGCTTCGCTTTGCTTGGCTGAGGTTGAAGAACGAGAGTCGAAGAAGGGAGAAGGAGAGCTGAAGAGGAGCCAGAAGTTAATGTGGGACAGGCACAGGAAATGCAAGAGCCAAAACTTTTGCGTCAGAGCACGAAAGATCTCTAACCCAACCTAACCAAAACGGACCTTACGTATATTTATATCATTCATCCCTCTTCTCTTCCACGTACTTAAATCACGATTTTGAATTGATTTTCCTTTTCTTAATCATGTTTCGTGCTATACCCGACTGCGACTTTGATTAAGTTTTCTTCAATCATTTGTTGTTATTTTTTGTAGTTCTCAGTGAGTACTGAATACCTCTTAGATTCCTGCTTCATCAAATCATACATTAATGTGTCCTGCCATTTAGCAGACTGTCTACTAAGTTAGATAGTTTTTCTCCGCCTTCATCACTTTGGATAGACCTCCTGGAGTCGACGTCTATCTAAACGACAAGAAAAACATGACATCGTCTCTTGGCAGAGCAGACACACCCTGAGCAAAGGAGCGGTAGCAATCGAGGAAATGCTGCTGTTCCCTTCACTTTTGCGTTGGCACCAAAATGTCAGTGGACTACAATGTCGCCGAGAAGAGCGGAGAGTTGGAGTCCTGTTGCGAGCGGGCCCATCTGCCTTGCGCTCGTGTGCTGCAGTCGCACTACTGTCGTCGGCATTTAGCGTGACTCCACTGCACATCGGTTTGTACGCTGCTGCAAAGCAGACAGAGCACAGCAGGGATGACCAGGGTACATATCTGATATACAAAATGTGGATCATCCCTTTGTTGAGCAACTTCTCTGTGTGTCGTTGTGCTACTTCTAGTCACTGACCGTCATCATCATGAACATGATCCTTCTCAAATCTTTTCGACACATAGGTTATTGATTTGAAAATCATATTCAATTCTTCTCTAGTCCTTCTCGCGAAAACCTCCAAACAGCCCCCCCGCGGGAGCGCAAACCACCTGACATCAATGATGCTACGGAGCTGACCGACACCGACAGGCCAGAAGGTGAAGACCCCCATAAGGCGGCGAGTTTTGTCGTAATCTCAACAGGCGAAGCAGAGCGAGTCGCTGAGACTGCGACTGGTGACCACATTGACCAGCAGATAGCAGAAGTAGACCAAATGATCGCACAGATAAGGCAGATGAGCACGGTGGGAGTGGACGCGCAGGGAGAGACTGAAGGAGGAGGACTAAACGGCATGAAGACAAAGCTAGAAATGCTGCGCACGCAGGTAGAACAGCTACCACGAGTACTGCAGACGATGTTGTCAGAAGTCAACTCTGAAAATTACAACAGCAGGGTCCTCCAGGCAGAATCGAGCGAGCCGGTCCAAGCATATGGCGACGCAATTGATGAGCTGAAACGGTCAATCACGATCATCGAGTCGCGGCTAGAGGAGGTGGAACGCGAGGCAGTAGAATCAAAACAACTGGTAGAGCCGTCGCAGGTGAAAAAACACGAGGATTTGGCTTCAGGTTCAGGAAATCATATTAGTGTGAGCACCAGATCTTCAGGAGTAGAAATGAGTGGGAGGCTGAGTCAGATGGAAAAGCTACAAGAGCAGCGACAACAGCAGCGAGAAGAAATGCAGAACTTGGTAGACAAGCAGACACAACAGACAAAAGAACTAGAAGCTTCACTGCAGGTAGCTCTTCAAGCTGTAGCACCAGAGGAACTACAGAACAAGCTGTCAACACATTCTTCTACTTCTCCATCAGTGGAAGTCAGCATCGTTTCGGGTCTGCCTCGGCCGCCTGCATTTTTGGATTGGAAAAGCTCAAAAGTAGAAGCTCAAAGTCTGACAGTAAATGTACAGATGCGTAGTAGTGTTCCTGATCCATTTCGGAAATACGTCATCAAGATCGAAGTGCCTGTGCCATCCAAGGAAAAGCAGAGCAGCGAACCAGCGTGGTCTTTGACGGAACAACTCGCGCTTTTCAAAAATGACGCGATTATGGTGAAATTATGCCGCTATCGGTACACGGGGCACGAAAATGATGATACACTCGGGAATTTTGGCGTAGCGAAATGGGCCGACTTTCAGAAACAGATTCGGGGAGGTGAGCTTGGTCAGCCTTTTCGCTACGTCAGAGTATCAGGTTTCAGCCAGTTCGAACCGGCTGGCACACTCTCGTATGGTGGTATCAATGATGCTGCGGTGACGGGACTCGCAAATTTACTTAAGTCCGCTAAGCAGATGTACGAGTATGATTTCCACGTAGTGTGTGAAACTGAGTCGGCGACCTGGCCGTTTGGCTCCAAACCGTATGAGGAGTACAGCAGGATCTCTGTCAAATTTATGTGGGTGGAAGTTTCGGTTGTCCCTGAGACTGTCATATGATCCGAAGATACCGACTCAATTTCGATATTAGATTCTGAAACACAGTGTCCAAGTTCATGGCGATCAGTGCCATTAGAACAGTGACGAACACGTTCGACGAAGATCATATACAACTTTTCCAGTGTATCTCTGTTCTTCTGCTATTTTTGAGACGAAAAGACGAGCGTGAAGATGGTCCTCTTGGTTCGTCCATTGATATGGATGCAAGAAAACTTGCACGGCTCCGTCAGTGTTCAAGAGAAATGTTGGCAAGACAAGGAACAATACTTGCCCCCGAGAGAGAAGCAGAATAAAAGAAGCAGATGCCAAAATGTGACAAATTGTGTATCAGAAAATATTATGATGAAAGTTCTTACCAACAAGAAAAAGAACAATGACGTGCCTGCAAAAGGCTCATAGCTATAGCATCACTGAGTACAATTGATTTTCAGGAAAAAAATAGCCCACTATGCATACATTGATTGAGATCTTGTTCCAGATATCCTTACTTTTTCTTGAGATCTTCTAAAGATGTCGTCTTCGTTCTCGTCTAGTAATAACACAACTTCTGGTTCTGCTAGCACGACTAGAGCTGCCGCAGGGAAGAAAAAATTATGGTCCGCTTCTTCCCTTTTGGCTCGTGAGACACGGGATGTGCTCTCCGAGATCCATGATGAACACGCATCTGCACTGTCTGTCGAAGCTGCGCGACTTGCGGAGCTGCGGAGTGAGAAAGAAGAACGGCGTACGACGTCTCAGGCGATAAGAGGCTCTTCCGGAGAAGATGAAGAAGTGGGTTCGATCATGCAAGATGGCAACTACACGTCTGCTGAGAAGAGAAACACGGGCGGTGGAGAAACACGAGTTTCTTCTGCTGTTTCGTCTCTTGCAGGACGTGATGACGGCTTGTCCTCGCAGCAAAACGGTCCTTCCGCGAATAAGTTCGAAGACGATGTAGATGCAGATGCGAGCAACGAGAGAGAAAGGATGCTTTTAGCATCTGGCGATCCAGAGTTGATAGTTCTTGAACGCGAGCTTGAAGCGAGGATGCAACAATGTCCGAGGAGGTTTGGTGGAGCAGAGGCTGGAACAGACAGTCCATCTCCAAGCAGGATAAGAAAGTCCTCAGATAATTATGGTGGTGATGTCGCTGGTCGTAGTTCATCAACTGCAGGACATCTTTTGAGCAGCAGCACAGCTTCGAATTCAATCGGTGGCTTACTCGTTTCATCTTCATCTTCAGCTACGAATAGTGTCAAGGACCACATGAAGGCGAGAACGAGCAGTAGTTTAAGGGTACCGTCAACCCATCCCCCACAACATCTTTTAGCCAGTTTCTATTTGAAAAGAACTGAAAGATATTCTAAAAGATGGGCTGTTGGTGCCTCTAAGTAGTAGTACTACTACTATTACTAAAAGTAGCAGTAACAAGAAAAAAATCGATCTTCGCATGGAAGAGTTACTGCGGACAACCGATGCGGCGTTTGAGCTGTTGCCGCCAGCGCCGGCTACTGAAGACATCGAAGCAGAGGTTGACGCATTAGCGGGATTGAGACTAGATATGCAGATTTTGTTAGGGCTTCCTTTAGCTTTAATCCATGTCCATCTTCGGTGCTTCTGGGCAACTGACCATGACCAATCCATCTTCGGAAGCTGCATGATTCCCAAGAGGTCTTTTCAAGGGGAAAAGGCACTTATCCTTATGACGCATCTCGAGGTGTATTTTTAGGGTAAGCTCTAACTTTGGAGTCGGTTCTGGGAGACGCTTCCGGCGAAGACCATGCCACGACTAAGGACAGCAACAGCACTGGAGTAGGTGGTAGTACAAAAACCGCTTCCGACCTACTTCTACTAGGTGGAGCAACAGCAACAGCACCAGCACCATCAGCATCAGTTCCCCCACTTTCACAACCACACCTAGAAGACTCTGTAACAACAGACTCCCTGACCACAGACTCCGTAACCGGAATGAATACCTCTTCATCTTCCACTTATGTTGAGGACGCTGCCACTCAATTGCTACGAGACGAACTAGAATGCATGGAGTTGGAATGGAAAGCCTTGAAGGAAAAGCAGCGTCGAATGGCCAGCACAGTCGATCAGGCAGATGAAATGCTTCTTAAAGCGACAACGTCTATTACGGCTGTTGGTAGAGGACTCACATCTGATCTATATAGTCGCTCCTCTTCCTCTACAGAGGAATTGCCTCCTATAGTGAATTCATCGTTACCAGGTGCAGATTTCTGATCTTCCTTTTTCTAGGGAGGTTGCAAAAGTGATACAACGTACTCCAGAATCTATAGATACACCTTACAAAAATAAGCGAATGTTGATTATTGTACTCCACGGGGAGAGGTCGGGGTCCTGACCAGCAAAACCACTCTAATTGAAGCAGCAACTTCATGCCAGCGGATCGTCTAGAGGCACTTCGGAAAGAGTCGGAGGAATTAAAACGTCGGGTTTTCGGCTCTTCGCAGAGACGAACACTTTCTACAACTGCAGTGGACAGGGTCTTGAGCGCGATAGAAGGGGGATAGGGGCTTACAGGGGTTGGAGGTTGGAGTCTACTTAGGATGGCTCTTAAGGGGGTCAGGGATAAGATTGTGTTGAATAGCAGTTTGCATGAGCAGGAGCACGAGCACCACTTCTTTTTAAGTATCAAGATTCTTACTTTTGCTGAGATTGCATAGAAATTTTGGAGAAACTGTTAACGCCTCATCTTTTCTTCATAATCGGATCAAAGTATCAATCATTCTCATCGCAACAACGTGCCTACTTACTTTTTTGTGGTGCACTAGTACCGCCTTTATCGTGCACCAGTCGTGCTCCAGAGAGGACCGGACAGCGACTTCCTTTTGCTCCTGTGAACGATGCAAAAAGGTTGATGTGGAAAAGAGAGTGTACCACTTAAAAAGATAGAGATACTGACCTGGTTCTGGCAAGAAAATGCCTTGCTTTGACGCTCGAGTGATTGTGATTAATGAAAAAGTAAAGAGATATATTTAAAAAAAAAGTCAAACCGTCTGCAAAGAGAGATTGAAGGGGCTTTCACGAAGGAGCAGAGGGATGAAAAATTGAGGAAGAAGGCTGAGGCTTAAGTTGTTGAAATAAATGCAGCCACCAGACGACATTATCAAGAAACAAAAGTACGTTGTTCACGTTCATCTTCTAGAGGAAGAAGATCAATAGTAGGTGGAAGAGTATAAATTTAAAGTGAATGTGAAAGTGGTCGTTCTTAAAGTGAATGGTTCCGGTATTTGGTAACCTGAATTTGATCATAAGGGAAAACAAGAAGAGAACCCTTAGGATCAAACTCAGGCTACCAAATACCAGAACCATACATAAAGTAGTTATGCTGTGTACGACCACGACCACCTTAACCACCTTATTCATCAGGTGTTGTAAAGTGAAATAGAGACGAAGATGAAACCCGAATAACAAGTACGTCAACGACCTCTTACAACGCTGTGATCCGAAGATGCCGGTGCCGACGCCAAAGTGGAGGATGATGAATTTCCACTCGATGTTGCGGAGTACCTCGACGTCCTCCTTCGCACTGGTGCTTGCAGCTGCAGTGACACTACTATTAAGGCTACAAGAAATCCATCTTCACAGGCATCTTGGTCCCGTTTTCAAAAGGAAAACGAGACCCAAGATGCTGCTCAAGATGGATTTCTCTTAGTTCTAATACTAGCATTGAGTGGAATAGCAGACGCAGTGAAAATCAGAGGACAGCGTGCTGACGACACACTAGTAGAATCTGCAGTTCGAAAGCTGTTGGAGGACCGAGTGCAGCTGATCTATGCCCAGATCCAAGTGGGAGATCCGCCTCAGAACTTCACGGTCACCTTCGATATTATGGATTCTTGTAACTGAATAGCCTAGACTTACGCAATTATATTAGGCTAGAATACCTATGAAAATATACGCATATCTATGACTTCTGCAAGGGGGAAACAGGTCACAGACTACTGCTACGTGCAAAATTATAGTAAATACAGATCGGTCCATCGGAAACCTCTAACAGGACTGGCAGTAGCGAACTGCTTCTGCCTGGCGCAAAATGTAGTTCGGGATCTTGTGTGTCTCACCAGCGCTACGATGTCCAAGCTTCGACTACAGGACGCGAGCTGTTCAAAAAAGGAACACAGACAAGAGTATTTGGACTCCACGCGAAGGTAGATGCAGCTGTGATGAAAGATAATTATGAGGATGATCATGATCTGGAAGTTACTATAGTAGAAGTAAATTATATTATAAGGTTAAGGATAATTGTGAGGTGGATCTGGATCTAGATAGCTTCTTCTATCTGATAGAAGAAGTAGATGTCCATGCAGTTGATGAGTATCAATATCTCAGAGTGTTGATGAGCAACACCATGAAAAAGAAGATGATTTTGATTGCTCATTCAGTACTACTACTTAAGACGAGTAAAAGAAATGATGAAGCAGGTCGCGGACTGCAGCAGCTCTGACATTTTACAGGATGTCGGCCTCTATATTTTTACCTCGTCCATACCAAGGAGGTAAAAATAACGGCCGAGGAGGTTTGGTGGAGCAGAAGCTGGAACAAACTACGAACTACTTACCCTTCCATTGTCCCGCTCTAAGCCACAGTCTGCGTCGGAACATGGTGCGCGCCAAGCGCCCAGTTTTTATCCGCACGGGATATGTCTGACGAGCTGTTTGATCAATTGCCGTATGACGGAATCTTAGGTTTGGGCCTCAGCAGCGAAAGTTTCGGAATGGGGATGAAAGAGGGAGTTTATGAGGAGGAGCTCTTTATGAGTACTCATATTGTTCTAGACGGTTATGTCTTTCTTGTCAGGTCGTGGGATCTCCCTTAGTTGTAGTAGGTGCAAACTAATGCCGCGTCTGCATGGAAGGAAAAATGAGCATATTATGGGTATACTAGAGTATAAGAATAAGCCCCAAAGAATATCGGACGATTAGTACCAGTTTCAGATGCTCTCAGATTTTACCATCTGAGTGGCTACCCCCGTGCCCCAATCTATCAGCAAACCACAGAATTCCTCTCCTTTAGACTTACTACAACTTAATCTTAAGAGTTACACCTTGTAACAATGTTCTCTTAAGATATTCCTCCCGTGGTTAAGGTTAAGACTTACAACACCTTCTCTTCAATTTTACGTGGATCCGGCAACACTGCCTTCGTCGCTCAAGAAGGATCAGAGTCTGAACCTATTCCAGAATTTTGTGGAGTCGAAGGCGCTGAAGAATAACCAGTTTGCGTTGTTTATGGCTGGATGGAATGTACAAGTTGTCTACTTCCTCAATCTGAAGATAGTTTGTATGATGTTTGTTCTATTATTTTTTGTGAGTAAAAAGTTGCGTGCGACAACTGCTCGGTGGCAGCTCCTTTCAACAAAATTCTCGCTTATCTTGTGGGACGACAAATGAGAAGCAACCTTGAGACAGAGAGGACAAAAGCATTCTTCTAGCTATAAGCCCTTAAGGCAGTCTGCACTGATCTTTGTGCGAGATTGTTAAGGAGATTAAGAACTCCCCCCTACGCCGGTAGCTACGCGGAAAATATGTAGGCAGGTTTTGACTTATCGGAACTCGTTTGCAAAGTACGCAGGTAGGTTTTGACTTATCGGAACTCGCTCACGATACAAAAAAAAAAGCGAGATTAATTGTATTGCATTGTATTGTATTGTATCCACATGCTTCGAGGTCCAGTCCATTCTCTAATCTCCGGTTCCGCAGTGCCGTCGACCCTCCGGGGGAGAAGAGTGGTATCACCTTCGGATCTCATGACCCGAATAGGATGGCGAGTAAGATGTACTGGTTTCCAGTACCTTATCCGGCAAACCATTGGGCGCTACCGATTTCAGACTTCGTCATGGCCCACCAAAGCGATATGAGCACAGCCCTCACCGAAGAACCCTTGAAGCTGTGCGAACCTGCACCGAAGAAGTGCACTGTGCTTATGAAGGGAGTTTGATTGTTCTGGTGTGCGTGTGATATAGTTCTCTTCGCCTGAAGATGGTGAAGAAACGTCGCAGAGGTCTAATGCAAGTACTCACTAGTAAAATAGAGATCTTCATTCTGTCGTACGACCGCCCGTCATCCTCAACATTTTCTAATTCCCTCTTCGATTCCGCTTCTCCGTTGATGATATTGTCCAGACCCGTTTTTGAGCGGGTCAAGGAAGCCATTGCTACGGGATATCCCAGGAAGCCTGTGTCAGATGCAGAGTTGGCAGACTGTCAACCCTTGCAAATGAAAATGCCCAAGATCGGAATTTCTTTTCGTTATGATAATTAGACTGTTGCTGGTGATACATACTGTTACAGGAACTACGAGAGAAGATCTACATCTACTGTTGTTGAAGACGAGGGGCACTAGAACTAGTACATCAACTAGACCTCCTAGAAGAAAAGTCCTCTAATCTCCTGGCGTAACCTTCTACCTCGACCCAGAGGACTACGTGGATAAGACTGGGAATATCTGCCTCTACCGGTTCCAGGTGATGTTACGGCTTCTCCTAGTCCATCTCCGGAAGCATCTTTCTTCGAGACGTTTTCAAGGGGAAAATGGATCCAGGATGCGTCTCAGGATGGATAAGGGTCAGCTCCAATGATGGAAGGAGATCAGAATCTGATTTATCTGGGCCGACCCTGGCTCGAGAAATACTACACGGTATTTGATCGAGACAGCCTGAAGATCGGGCTTGCGCTGAGCAAGCATGCGAGGACGGTAGTTGTCTTCTTGTAGTAAATTTGTAGTTGTTAGTTGTGCATGTGTGGTAGTATTACGTACTGTTTTTTACTAGTACATTTGAAAGTATGTATTCTTTTTCTAAGAAGTAGCTAGTAAAAAACTACTACTGGTCGATGGGCAATCAAGGTGAGCATGATGTCGACCTGCGTCTTCCTTCCCTCAGAACGCCACTTTCTTCAGTTCTTAGACTAGAAATAATTTTCTGTTTCTCTGTTTCGATAAGTGGACGCTCCTGACTTCTCCCTAAGAACCACACTTTCTTCAGTTCTTAGACCAGAAGCCCTCATCTCCTAACCCCAGGTAGAGATATCCGACGCCATCAGTGATGAGGAAGTGACCACGACATCCACCACTACAACGACGACCACAACCCTCGAACTAGAGGAGGTGGTGGCGGCCGAGGCGACGCCTGCTGCTGTTGGGAATCCTACGGAAGCCACGAGTGCGACGGTGAATCTGCTTACTGGGTCATAAGAGAAGCACCACCTCCCACGACTAGGTTCTATGTTTGAAACTGGTCCTGCTAGTTGTAGTACCGTGCATTTTGTAAGTACTAGTTCGTTCTACTTAATATTTTCACTATCATCTTCCCTTCTAGTTGTACCAACATCCACCAGCATAATATTATGCATCCAACCACACAGAAAAACGAAGAAAGTGAAGTTGTTCGAGATTCCTCAAAAGGATTCCGGGATCAAGAAAATGTGCATGTTCACAATGTACAGGAAAGTAAGATAGAGATATAGTCTGCACAGATGATTATTATTGAAGATCAAGATGAAGATGTTGACCTTGAGAATGAGAACTACAACAGACGTAGACGATGTTGATGTCGACCCTCCTGCTATCGACGGGGGGATGGCTCTAAGAAGACGTCGTCCGACTGTTCATTTTTAACGACAGGAAACACTACTATCACAGTGGCCACCAGAACGAACAAGGAAGTGAAAAGCCCAAGTCGGTCTGGAATTCAACATTGTTCGCAAGGAGGGGACATCAATCTCCTATACCGCCTCCAACATTCGCAAAGAGACCTTCACCACGACTTCAAGAGTTGTTCCTGTAGTCGGTATCTGAGTAGAATTTTCAGGTTTTCGGGTGCATCTGTGGAAGAACACAACTTGATCATTCTACGGTAGCAAAGAGGGACGACCAGCATCAGAGAAGCACGTCCTCCAGAGAGAAATCGTCACCATCAACCCCTATTTCCGAAATGTTGTCTAACACCTTGACCTCGTTCTAAACCCAAGAAACCTCGACGGAACCCGTCTACTACTTCATGAAATCATAGAAAGTAAAATTTTAATGGCGAAGATAACAACTCCTGGATGGCTGAATGTGTCTTGTTTTCCACCATGATTGGGTTACTTAATCTAGAGATCATGAACCCACCTGTGACGTAGCATGCCATTCTAGTAGAAGAATACATCTATCTATCTATCTATCTATCTATCTATCTATCTACATTCATGATTTTGATAAAAGGGGAGATCATTTTCACTTGAAGTGATTCCCATCTCAATGTTCTTCATAGTGGTTTGATTTATGAGGGGGGACGGGGCGCTGCTCGAAGGCGTTCTTCAGGCGTCGATTTTTAGGTAGTGGAGGGCACTGCTTCAGCTATGTTTTGCTACAAAAAATGCATGAAAATGAACAACAGGGTAATTCATCAGTGATTAGAGTCTAATAATTATATGCTGGATCCACTTCGGTTTTTACAGTAAGTGAATTACTTAGAATTTTTTAAAAGTGGAATGCCACAGAAATTAAATGATCGGCATCGTGCCTGTAGTGTGCATGTGCCTGTAGTTGTTGTCTTTTGATTTCATGGTAGTAGAGGAAGTTGGTTATCCTTCGTTATTTCTTTTTACTACTTGAGGTCGGGGGCGAAGTCCCTTTAGTACATGCAAGTAACAAATTTAAGATAAGTAACAACTACGCTGCTCTTTACACCACGTTCGTGGACCCCAGAAGGTGGGACACTAACATGAGCTCCTTGTGCGGGGGAGAACAAGAACACATTACGGTCAAGACATAGTTTCTGCAAGATTTTTCTCGTGGTTTTAGCACGGCTCCCGACACGACTACAAGCTTCTTCTTGGTCGTTTCCCAAAAAAGAAGACCTCGAAGATGTCAGGGGAAGCCGTACGTTTTTCGACTCGGCTGTCTCCGCGACAGGAGAGCTTCTTACAGGCGTCAGGAAGCGAAGGGACGAGTACTGCTCTGTCTCCGCGACAGGAGAACTTGCGGTCTAACAAATATGCACATCAGAACAAGAAAACGAACTACTCAGGACTTGTTGTATTACCGTCTGCATCAACATCATCTTCAAATAGGACACGGCAGATGCACAACAGTGCAGCGTTTCTAGAAGGACAAGCACCCCCACCAGGACTCGAGCCGGAACGCGCATCGCCGGCTTTTAATACGGGAGCTGCAGCTGGTGAAATACGAAGTTCAAGTTCTTCTAGTCCAACGCCTGCGCCATCTTCCAGTAGTACAACTAGTACTACATTTTCAGCTTCTAGTACGACAGGAGGTGCAACAGCTTCATTGAGCAGTGCTGCAAGTCGTGGAACTTCTGGTGGAACAACAGATTTTAGTACACGAAGATTATTGTTAGAAGGAGAGGATCATGACTCATCGTCGGGAGGTCCTCAGAACATTGATGACCTACTGCTGGACCACGCTCGACGCAGGTTGCTAGGCAGACAGCACCAGTACGAGCATGGGGCCGAGGAGGAAAAAGGTGGGAGTGAATTAGAACAGCAATTTTTAGATGATGGACTCAATGGCCAAGAAGATGAAGGTAATTCATCATTTTACAACACGAACACCGATTTCGAGCACAACTATGCACCAGATCATGGGGAGCCAGGACAATTTCTTGCACGTGGGCTGGATCACGACCATCTTAATAGTGCAGCATCATCTGCAGTCGAGCAGGACATGATCGAAGATCTTCACCTGGATGAGGATGAAGATGGGGACCATAACGAAGAGGATCTAGACGACGCTGATGAGCATGTTCTTGGGCACCAAGACCACGACCAGTTGTATACGGAAAATGCAGTAGGAGTAGAAGTCGAGGAGGAAGAGGGCGAAGTTTTTTTTCATCCTAGTAGAGCTAAAGGAGGAACTGAGTACGATTTGGAGGAGGATGACGACTTGGACGCCGCAGTGGCTGATGAACATGCGCCTCTTGGGACGAGATACAACAATCAGCATGGTGGAGGACAGCAGGAAAGTCCAGAGGACGGAGGACAAGAGAGCCCAGACGAAGATGATCAGGAACCTTATGGACGATGTAAGATCGGTATACTCCTTTTTCTACAGCACAAGAAGATATTACATGAAATTTCAATTTCTCGTAAACTAGTCCTTCTAGGTCACTTCTAGTTACCTACTTAGTCATCTCCCGCGGCTAGTTCTAGTACTAAAGAATTCTTTTCCCACTTTCATGTCACAGAGCAAGAAGATGAGGAGGTTGAGGCGAAGAGGCGGCTTGTTGCTGGCATGCTAGAGCGGTACGAGGATGATGAAGAGCTAGAAGATCTAGTTGGTGCCTTAGAGGGAAGAGGAACGGGTGCCGAATTAGAAGAACAATATCATTATGGCAACATCATGAAAAATGGCAACGCGAAGTCTTCCGATCACTGAGACAAGGTATAATAGTTTTCCTACTACAAAAATGCAGCTGAGTCTATGTCGTATAATTTTTTTGAAGTAGTACCGTCGACTACTACTCCTATCTACTTCTTCTAAGTACGCTTTTTAGCAAGAACTCTACTTCTTGAATACTCTTTCTTGTTCTCGTCTAACACCCCATGGAGCATCAGGAGGATCCCGATGAGGAGGATGTTGGCCTCCGACACGATGTGCACGAGGATGAAGCAGAAGAGATGCGAGGCACGTTATATGGACGAGGCGCGTCTTCATCGCAAGGGATGTTCAGACACCTGGGTCTCCCACCAAGGAATCTTCAGGTACTGGTTGTATCTATTGTGAAGTTGTAGATGAGAAACAATCTATTTCAGTATTTTTTAGATAGAAGGAAGTACAATTGGAATTGGAATTGGAATGGATGGATGGATGGATGGATGGATTGCTATGCTATGCTATGCTATGCTATGCTATGCTATGCTATTTAATTACCTGCGAGCAGTACGGAACCTCCACGAACAACTCAGCACACGATGCCGACATCAAATTGGTCGTCCTCTTTCGGCAAGCGGCCCCCTGGGTTCCCGAACTCGATAAACCGACTTCGTGAACAGGCTTTCGATCTTGAAGCGATGCTAGAAGGAGGTTCTTTTTCGACTTCGTTAGTTCGTACTACTTATTCGAAAACTCAAAATAACCGAGTTACTAACTGAAATAAGGGAGGCAGCTTAACGTCAAGGCTGCCCTTCCTTCTCATCAGTATCTCGGTTATTCTGATCAGTTACACTTGCTTATTTCAGTTTTTCGAATACCTTCTCCCCTCATTTTCTTTCTGGTTTTGAGTACTGGAGGAAATAATCTGCTGAGTTTCACTAAAAGGTGGTCTAGAAATGACCGACTAGTACTTTTCCATTGATAATTCAATAAATACTAAATTCATCTTCACGATAATTCATTAAAATTTAAGCAACCGGTTCGTTTTTACCTCTAGGTCTAGCGTGTAGCCCTTGCAACAAACTAAATATTAAATTTATCGTCAGTAAAAAATCAGCTCCTCCACCACGCGGCTGGAAGCCTATGCCGGATAATGATCCTAGCCCAGTAGCGGGTCTAGACTTGACAACCTTGCCACCAATGCCGTCTTATAAGGATTGGAAGGATCGTCGAAATCGAATGGGAGAGAGGTATAATTACGAAAAGGGATACGTCTACCATGATGACTATGAGTAATGAATTGCTAAACTGAACTTTTAAGTAGAAGACGATAAACAGCAGAAAAGATGTGAAGATACTTAATGTTCATAAACACCCAAGAACTACAACCTCTTTCTACTCGGGTCGCTACGGAACCAGGCAGCTTCGAGTGAGTTGCTACGTGGTTCGAATGAATGAACTACCACCTTTTTACACAATACAAGGACAAGGACACGATGAACACAATACAAGGACAGCACACTCATCCTCTTTCTCCTTTTCCCTCCTCCACCAGGCGAACAGCTGAATGAATGAACACAATACAAGGACAGCACACTCATCCTCTTTCTCCTTTTCCCTCCTCCACCAGGCGAACAGCTGAATGAATGAACACAATACAAGGACAGCACACTCATCCTCTTTCTCCTTTTCCCTCCTCCACCAGGCGAACAGCAGCTCAAGAAGAATCATCAGCTGGCGCAAAGTGGATGGAGGGAATGCGTCAGTGGCTCTCGGATGCGCCTGGGAGGGAGATATTGCGCAACGAGCTAGGTGAAGTAGGCCTAGCAGATCACGCGTTGAACTTATGGCGAGAAAAAGCAGATCACGCGTTGAACTACTTTTCTTAGAAGCTGTCATAGTTCTTCCCTATGAAGATGTTGTATCACAACTATCGTTCCTACTATAGGTGTACCTTATAATCGTGCTGCTTTTTTCATTTTCTCGTACTCCACCATCCCATCCCCTCTTCTAATACTCGAGGTTTCCTTCCTGCTCTTGCATTCGGGACAGGTGGTTGCGGCAGGTTAGCAGCGTTGGCGGCGGACATAAAGGGCGACTATCGTGATCACCTGATTTTTCACTTCATTTAGCAATTTTTACAAGGTTAACCAAAACCAATATTATGAAACAAGAATATAGCGTTGAGTTTAGAGGGAAAAATCAAAATGTTTTTTAGTTCAGAGGACGACGACGAGTTATCCGAGAAGGTTTAAGAAATGAACAAACGGGACAACTACACTTATTTAACAATGAATTAAGCTTACAGTGATACCATTACCACTGACATTTACAACTGCTCTCAACAGGCTTGACCTCCTATATTACACTTACTGGAAATATTAGTCCACGATCATTCTCTTCTGTACTTAATTTCTTGTCATCTTCATATGTATGGGGCTTCAATCATTTTCTGTAACAATATTTCCTGTAACTACTATCATCATACTAGAATCAAGATATCCAACATTCTACTTCATAGGAGTAAATATCATGTGATTTTTTGCCAAATGTATCCACGTCTAGGTCTATAGTTATAACACGATGAAGATGTGTATTAAATCTTGCGAAGACCACGGCTACCAACATAATTTTATTACTTGTTCAGACAGCAGGAAAACTGTAAGAAAGTGCAAGTAATCTTGCTTTAGGGACGTTGTAGTTTTTTAATGAATCAATTTGCATGAAATTGAAAATTGTACCATTATTTTGTGACTTAATACTCGGCGTCAAGTAAAGAGGTAATTGAGACACAGACAGGAGTTGTTGTGACAGTTTTGCGGTAGCTTTGCTATCTGATTTTTCGTGTTGCAGTGAGGTTCAGTACAAGTACTGGTTTTCAGTTTATCAGTTTATCCTTATCTAGCGAAAGCACAACGTTATATCAATCTTTGCTCGTTGTATCATTCGAGTAACGACTTCTAATTACAGAAGCAAGACGAGATTTCTAATCTAGATACTATGCGAGTAGTTTACCATTTATTATCTAAGAGGACAAAATAAAATTAAAAACTTTTTCGCATGCAGCATACGCAAATCATGCTGATGCTCAGCAAGCACAGCGCATGTGTTCCCACAGCGCACTTCGTCGCCGTGGGAATCGAACGATGTAAAGATAAGAGGCGACCTCTTTTTCATCAGTTGTTGTTCATCATATGCTGTGTTGTACTTCACTTTCATGACTATGTGCATGAGCATTTGTTGTCGAACATTGATGTAACAATGTTGTTGAGCGGGGGCATTGTGTAAGTACATAGTTCAACAGAAGGTACAGGATACTTGAAAGGCCTCGAAGGTGTTAGTAGAATACATAAAAAGAGGATCCATGACATGACAATCATTCTGTTCATAAATCAACATGGTTGTACTCGTCACCTTATCTGCCAGTAGTTTTCCTGGTAGGCCCACACCTATTAACCTAACCTTAAATCTGTTGTCCTTGTGGAGTCGCTGTTGATGTACAGGGGACGTCGGAGGGGCAGTCCGAGCTTTTCTACTCTGAATCTAGTGGGCATCACAAACAAGCGGTGGAAGACGGCGACGTTGCCTTTGTCGTGCGAGGAGGTTCCATTATGAGCATGTTGACCAGCAAACTTTCAGGCGCACAAGAACATAGATTTGATAGAAGTGTCTAGGGAGATAAAGAGAAAGATGGTTTAGAAATTTCATGTTGCACGGATTGTTGTACAGAGGTGTGGAAGGTGTTGTATCAAAATTAGAAGAATTTTTACGGCAGGACGAGCAGAACTAAGCTGCCTGATACATCACATACCTTATTTGCATGGTCGTGGATCTAAAATTTCGCATTCGCTTTTGGGGGTTTTGAATTTGATAGAAGTACATATCTTTCTTCAAACCAAGAACGAAAGCGACGAACAAACTTGTTTTGATTCTTCGTCAACATCCAGATGATCAGATGTCTATCCACTATGTACTAGTACTACAAAAGAGGATCCACTATGTACTAGTACAACATCGGCAATGAAGATTTTGATCTTTCAAGAATGACCGCGACTGGCATTGATCATTCACGAATAGCACTCACGAATGGAGGACTAATTGATGAGTAATGAGATGAGCATAATTGTGTATGTAAAGATGATTTTTTAGACGATGTTAGTTCGTCTATGTTGGAAAAATGCTGCGCGTGGCGTCAGGGAGTAGATCTTTGAGGACGGCCTCAGCCTTCTCCTGTTCCTGTTTTACGTGAAGGAATAGCCCCTCTCTGATTGCATCAGTCAACTTCACGGATAAGAACAAAAAAAGGAAGATGTTTCGAGGAAATACAAAAAGACAAAATGTAAGTATAGGGAACTGGATGATCTGGAGGAATCAGTATGAAAGTGAATCAATGATTATGGAAGTCGTTTGGAAGAGAGAGAGAGGGATACCCCAAGTAGGTACGATACCGTCGGCATGAAGGAGAAACTGAGGGCATGAGTGATCACAGTAAGACCAAGAACAATGAGGACATTGAACACGTCTGCCGCGAACGTTTATCCTGGTCCACCAGTCTTGCGTCCGTCACCTCTTGACCGTGTGGAAACCGCAAGACAACCCGTTTTTCCGTCAAGAAGCTCGAAGAGAATGGCCACGACTAAAGCAGCTAAGTCCAAGGCCGCTGCTACCAAAGCGCGTTTTTATGTGTCCACCGCAACTGCATATGCTGTTCTTTTTGTCCAACATGGCGTCGAAGTTACTGCTGCTCGAACTGCTGCTCGCTTCCTCGGTCTACAAGAATGTCAAGATCTTGGCGCAGCAGCTCTCTTGCACGACCATGATCCTGCGTCAACATTTTTCGAAAGAGCCGCACAATTTGAGAAGAGATTAGAGGAATTAGAGGAGCATGAAGCGGAACGGCAGAAAGAGGTGCTGTTACTGGCGAGAGAAGACTTTTGGAAAGACACGGAACCAGCAGTATTCGTGTCGTCTGGACGTCGTGGGGCTCCTGGAGGTCATGGTAATGATCATCAAGCACCTACAACTACTAAGTATCGTGGTCGTACTTCTTGTGGTAGTGGATCTAGTTTGCATCCAGTTCCACCACCTCCCGCCTGCTACGGAGGAGAAACTACAGCAAGCGGAATTAGAACAACAAGAACTTCTACATCACCCAATCGGCGGCCTTCGCCAGTAGATACTTCGCGCAGAAGTGTTCTTCACTATGGAGCTTCGTCTAATGCTAGAGGTCTTTTGAGAGGAGGAGACACAGCAGATGAAGATTCTGATGCTGATTCTGATGCTGATTCCGATGCTGATGACGATGATGAGAAACGAGAGCGACTACGTGCTCATCGAGGAGAGTCGATTTCTTCTTTCGGACTTGGTGGAAGTAGTACTGGCACTGCTCATTCACGTCGTCACTTGTCAAGACAGGGAATCTATCAAAAACGAAAGTTGTTATATCCCAAAAAGTCGTTGTACTCCGCACTTGGTGAACAACAAGCACAAGAAGCTGAGGCGGCTGGTGCTGGAGGAGGTAACTTGCGTTCAGAACGGACCTCTAGAAGAACTTCCTCCAGGTCTTTGTCGTGTTTCTCCGGTCTGCTTTGTCGCAATGCGCGGTCAAGCTCACCCACAATGGGCCGGTCTTCGACTCCTGTGCTGAGTGTTGACTCACCGACTGTTCCCCTAAGCCGAAGTAACTCGGAGCCTGCAGTTCCTGAACGGCGATCTTTCGGACGAGCAGGCCTCGGTTCTTTCATGACGCGAGATCGAGAAGTCAATACAACGAGTCCAAGTACCACAGAGAATAAATTATTCAAGGACGTCGACCACGATGTTGATATCAATATCAAGAATACAACTGATGTGATAGATTACTATGACTTCTACGCCATCCGACAGGTCCGCCAACAAGCTGAAGCGGAAGATGCGCGCGTGCAGAAAGCCAAACAGATTACCAGAGAATGGGCCAGCACTAGAGATCAAGGATCTGCCACATCAACATCAACATACGATCTTCAGAAGACTACAACAGGAGATGACGCTGAACCACGTGTAGAAGAATCCTCACCTTCGGTCGTCGTCGATGTTGACCTCCTCCATGAAGACTTTCAGCTTGTAGATTTAGATGGGATTGAAGACAGCACCTCTCCAAGAACAGCAGCATCTTCCGTTACTAGAGCTGCAGGGTCGAAAGACGCTTCTTCTAGTACACGACCTAGTACTTCTGCTAGTACGAATAGTACAAGAGCAGACAGAGGACGAGACAGAGATTCCAGCACAACTCCTGTGACGATGATTGAGATGACTCCACTGCATTTAAGGGTAGGTTAAAGGTGCTTTTCTTACCGCTTTTTATGCCTCTCTCCCTTAGGATGAGAAAGGCATAACAAGCGGGGCACTTAAGCGAGCACCAAAAACCTACCTCTAATGCATCACCGCGCTCTTGATCCTCTAGTCTTGCTGGAGCAAATAGTGGCCCAAAGTAGCGACTCTGACTTTCCTTTGTCGGCGGATATGATGCAGAGGTTGTTGGATGGATTCGATAAAGTGCAGAGAAAGCAATGTAAACAGGCTCTGTGTCGGATACGTGTTGGTGGGGCCGCTGCCGCTGCATCTGGGTCGTCAAGAACAGTTTGCACCTTAGGTTCAGGTGGACGAGGAGGAGCGTTATCTTCATCTCCTTGCACGACTCCTAGTATTTCATCTCCTGGTATTTCATCTCCTACGGAAATAGGTACGAGGACTCATCCGTTCACTTTCAATCCGGGAACTTCTTCTAGTGCCTCAACTGCAGGTAGCGTTCATCATCTTCATCATCCAGGAGAAGCTTCTTCGTTAAGTCAAGATCTCGCAACTTCTACAACTTCTACAACTTCTTGTCTGCAGCCTCCTTGTTCAGCTTCTGGCCTACTTGGTCGGTCTACTGCGTCCACTCGTTCCCGCAGAGAGCTGCGCCAAGAACCTCGCATTGTCGTTGTGGGTGATACTCATGGGCAGCTTCGGGATTTCCTATGGATCCTGACAAAACATGGTCTTCCGTCCAGCGATAATGTGTACCTAGTTAACGGCGACGTGGCGGACCGCGGACCCAATGCGGTGGCGATTTTCGCTTTGATTTTTGCGTTCAAAATCAAAGACCCGGAATGCATTTTTCTGAATCGCGGTAACCACGAAGATGAGAGGATGAACGATCATTACGGGTTTCAGCAGGAGATCATTCGAAAATTTGCGCCTGATGCAGCCAGAAGGGATCCCAGACGTCCAGGTCCGCCGCCACCATCGTTGAAAGTCGCGCAACGGCTCTTCTACAAGTTCATGACCATGTTTCAAACGTTGCCGTTGGTAACGGTCATCGACGACGCTGTTTTTGTCACTCACGGTGGCTTGCCTCGGTGTGCAGATGCTTTGACTCTGGCTGACATCGAAGCGCTGGACTTTCGAAAGCCAGTACCCAGTTATCCAGAAAAGTATTTGGGACAAACTGAAAACGCTTTGCGGGAACCGAAGGAGATGGATGCGATGAGATGTTATCACTTTGTTCATCAAGAAGTAGAATATTGAAGAGTAGAGAGTCTTCCTGTCTGTCCTAGGTTCTCTTTAGCTTATAATTATACGAAAAGACTAGCAAGTAGACTTTTGCTTTTGCTTGTTTTTCGTAGGCCTCATAGCTACGAGATAAATCATCCGCCACCGATGAAAGTAGATGCCCGCCTCCAAGGGCCTTTTCTAAATTTAGAACTGTACGAATGCCGACGGAATTTTTTCTGACCTCATGTGGGCAGATCCTTGGGAAGGACCGGGTCCTGGGCGAAGTGGGCGTGGTCGTAAAATCCTCAAGTTTGGTCGTGAGCAGACGGAGACCTTTTTGCAGAGAAACAAATTGGCTTTACTTTTGAGGAGCCATGAGGTGCCGGATAATCATAATTTTGCGATGCTAGCAGGTGGAGGTCAAAATGCGCCGGCTTATAATCCAAACGGTACAAGAACAACAGCTGCATCCAGAGTCGGTGGATGTCCAACCAGTTCTTCCACCTCTCAACTCCAGAGCTACGTGGATGGCATTTTTGGCGCTGGTGCTGCGAATAGTCTCTTCGGCCCTCTGATTAATATTAAGGCTTCAGGTAATCCATCTCGTCCAGAAGCATCTCGGGGCCTCTTCCTAAAATGGAAAAGCAAGGCCAGGATGACTTTCTTCAAGATGGATAATTCCAGGAGGCTCTACTAATATGAATAATCCTGCCACAACTACAACACCGCCTAGTACTGGCGGAAACAGCATGCTTCGCGGTCCAGGGTATCAGTCTTGGCATGGTGGTCAGTGCTACACAATCTTTTCTGCTTCGAATTACTGTGGAACCACTGGCAATCGCGGAGCCGTGGGCTTGTTGACAAGAACTATTGCACCTGCTCGCACTAGTTTCTGGGACCATGATTCTCATCTTGATTTAAGGGTCAACTTTCAATGGTCATTGGGGTTGGTCACTGAGATCGAAGAGGCGGCGCCTTGAGAGAACAGGGGAAAACGAAGGGAAAGGGGAGAGCTTTGAAGGGGGTCAGTCTCTTCCGTTCAGAGTCAGTGGCCATTGAATGCTGAGCTTTAATTGATGCGTCAACATCTGGTGCTGCTCGTGGTGGTGGTATTGACAGGAGTAGCACATCACCTACACCTACAACTATGCCTTTTCTTGGAGGTGTTGCGCCTCGTTCTGCTGCACAGACTGGTGAAGAAAAGTCTAATGCTGAAGTAGGAGAGTTTCGAAAAAGAATATGGCACCAGATGAATATCGAGGAAGGAGACCGCAAGGACACCTTCTTGGACGACACAGGAGAGTCTAACGCTGAAGTAGGAGAGTCTCGAAAAACAGTTAGAACCGTTGAGGTTGAGCAGGTTGAGGACGTTGTTGGCGCTGGCACAACTAGTCCCTACATGAAAACCCATACTCTTGCTGACACCAGTGGCAGTGCAACCCGTACTCTTGCTGAAGGGAATGATAATGCTGTAGGTCCTGAGGCTCCTACACCACCTCCTACACGGGTCACAGATGACGAGCAGCCAGGAAAAGTCTCGCGGCTGTTTACTCCGAGTCCCGACGATGAGGTGGCTCGACATACTGTATCATTTGGGACTAGTAGAGATCTTCTAGATCAACACAGCGTGGGCCTTGACCAAGAACAGCCCGCAGCTTCATCTAGTACTGCAGCCACGAAGATATCTTCCACAATCGCCATCCATCCCCCACCAATTCTTGGTTCGACCGATCGTAGAAGCTTCCCTTCGACCTCCTCGTCTTCCTTTGGAGGCACTACACAAGGAGAGGAACATATTAGTTCCTCGTCTTTTACAACCACCAGTATGAGTTATTTACAACAACAAGCTGGTGTATTTCGGTCCAGCAGTTCCTGTTGTTCCGCCACAAACGTGAAAATGACTCCGATTGCTGGTCGCGACCTCGCGTTCGGGGTTGCGGAGCACTATGCGCCAGATTGGAACGCAGTGAGAGTGAAACTGAAAGAAGTACTACTGTCGAAGAAGACAACTTCTAGGTTTGGATTGCCAGTAACTGAAGAACGGAGAATTGGATTGCCAGAACAAGTAACTTCATCTTCTAGGTTTGGAATTGGATTGCCAGAAAAAACTGAAGATGAAGAGCGGAGCTTGACGAGCAGCACACGGGCAGGTGCACGGGAAGCACAGGCAGTGTCTTCTTCATCTTCATCACCACCTCTTGGGGCTTCGGCTCTTCGTCCAGTTCCAGGTACAGATGTACAACAAGAACTAGGTACTCACGCTCAAGCAGTTGTCGTGAAGGAGCTTCGTGTTCCTCTGTACTCGGCACCTCCGACTAGCATGGTTGTAAGGAAGAAGACACTGTTGATTATAGAGGAGAAAGTAGATGGTGATGGGAAAAACATGGCAGTAAAAGAGGAGCTGCGTAGTGCTTATGTCGAAGGTGGAGCTCTGAAACATGAGCAGGCGGAGGTGGACGATACTCTCAATCATGAACCGGAGGACGATATTCCTGGTCTTGATGAGGCAGCAGAACAGCATTTTCCTATACCTTTTCCAGAAGACAGGGTAACAAGTTCTTTAGGCGGGAATGAGTTCCTTGCCGGCTCCCTAGATGACGATGACGATGATGAGTTCCTTGCCGGCTTCCTAGATGATGATGAGGATGATGCGGTGCCACTGGTGCCCCTATTGGCTGTAGGTTCTACCAGGGCAGCTAGGGGTAGTAGAAGTAGGAGTAGAAGTAGTCCTGCTAGTAAAGTGGATGTGGGCGACATCGAAAGATTGACTTCATCCCAAGATAAAGACAGCGACGCCGACGATGAGGATGAGTTCGGGGCGGATGACGAGCGAGAAGATTTTGCTTACGCTGCTGAAGATGCATTCGATGCTGAGCAGGACGAGGAGGCAGCACGTTTACTTGATGAGGCTGAGAGGGCTGCAGAAGATTATCACGATTCTCAACGACTGCAGGACTGTGAAACGATTCAAGCCCGAACCAGACACCGGATTGCGGAGATGATCATTGTTCCGTTCAAATTTGACCTGTTGTTGGATTTTTATGATCGGACTTTGCGAAGAAGTAGTACAGGAGATGTTGAGAGTGCAGCAATTTCCAGTACTACAGAACCCGAAGGGCGAGGTGGAACCGATTCTAGTGTTACCAATTCCAGTACTACAGAACCCGAAGGGCGAGGTGGACCCGAAGGACGAGGTGGCAATAAAGCTGCTTCGGCTCTCGGTGCAGCTCTTCTTCATGGAAGCTCTGCTACACCAGTATCTTCCAATTCAGCATCAAGTAGTATAAGAATAAGTCAACAAGTATCAGCCAGTACATTTGAAGAAGTAATGCGTGCTCGAAGTGGTGGACAGGATCTAGATTGGCGTTTTCTGCGACGCTTTATTTTTCCGGAGTTTTTCACTACTAGTTCATCTAGTGGAACAAGAGAAAAAGGTGGAATTGGTCAACTCCTTGTCTCTCCTGAAGATTTGTTCAACGACCACGAGGATCATGATTATACCTCCTCCTCTCGAGAAGAGGATGTTGAGGAAGATCCACCTGGAGTTGTTGCCGGCTTCCTCCACCATGAACAAGTGCATGATGTCTTGAAACTTCTATCGCACTTTCGTCTGGTTGAGCGGGTTCGTCCTGTCCTCGATTCGTGCAGTGAGGATGTTGGTACAAGAACAAGCTCTCTTTTGAAAGGATGCGGACACGATGAAGCTGCGGACACGATCATCAAAGTAGAAGACGATTTCTTCGATGAAGCAAGGCAAATAAACAGGCCCAGGGACAACAATGATGAACAAGTGGCACCACAACAACGTCTGCCTCCTCGTGAAAAATCAAAATCTTCGATAGGTCAGCTGTCTCTCTATGCGGAGGACCCTGAGGATGAGGAGGAGTTATTAGAAGTCTTCAACAGCAAGGGGAACAATGATGCTTTGCTGGGGACGGGTACTAGCAGGACTACCAATTCTAGTAGCACATCTCGATCCCCTTCTCCTAGTCCTACTTCTAGTAGTGGTCCAACAAGAACGATGCCGATGAAAGTGAAGGGTGGAAGCTGTGGACCTACTTCTAGAGATGATACGAGTCCTTCTCCGTCTAGAACTGAAGACACTAGAATTGCGACCCCGCCAAGGACCCAAGGAACGTCTCGAGTTGTACAAAAACCATCAGAATGGCAACATCACGATGCTAATTCCCGTCAAGTAAACAAAAGCCCACCTAGTAGAGTTACAAAAGAAGTTTCGAGCTTACTTTTTGCTCGCTGCGTGAATCTTGTTTTAGACGAGTGTGGTGGAGCTGCTCCTGCTGGTGCTGCGGAATCTTCACTAGAAGGTGCTGGAGATGGAAGTAGAGGAGGTTCTTCTCAAACAATTCACATTAACCCTCCATCAACTTCAACCTCTCCAACGAAAGAAGATACTAGAACGGGCAAGAAAGTGCACGTTGTAGTAGACCCGGAAGCACCTCCTTCGGAACAAGAATCTGCGCCACCTAAATGTAAGCCAATGTTGCCACAGACCGGTGCACATCATGATACGACGACTCTTTTCGAAGCTTTATATTCTGCACTGCATCGCCGTGTACGAGGAATCGAAACTTGTTCATCCCCTGTGTGGCAAGAAAGTCAAAGTCTTCAAATTCCAGATGAACTGGAAGATTACGACTTCATTATTCGTGTTTTAAAATGCCATGACTTGGTGACACCTCGACAAGCCAGGATTTTGAAGGTGGTGAGTGAGCTAAAGTTAAGGGTCGTTATTTCCACATTACGATTACATTCTGCACTACCATCTTCCCTGAACAATCTTTCCCCACTAGTAACAAAGAAGTCAGGGATCATGTTCTGAAGAATGCAATTGCGGAAGAACCTCTAAAAATAGAGGACCAATACGGGATGAAGAAGAAGAGCAGCCCAGATCAGGTGGACTTGTTGTCGATCTTAGTTGAAGACATCTTGATTACACTGTTTGCCTATCGCGGGCCACTGCGAGCACTGTTGGACGAGGATGTGCCTGGTAGAGCATCTCATCCTCAAAACCAAGAACGAGATGCAATATTAGAGCACGCTGTAGAGACAGGAGCATTTGTATCAGCACTCGAAGCAGTGCAGCGTGCTGGGGCACAACTGGCAGATATCATTGGCAAGCAAGGAACGAGGACGATGACACCGACTGGCCAAGAAGAAATGGTACTAGTGTCAAATAACGCAAGAACAAGCGCAAACACAGTAGAAGCAGAACATGATCAAGGACAACAAGTACAAGTTGTAGACAAGAAACTGACGACAGCACAGATCCGATTGGTGGCTACGCTTTTAGGTCGAGGACATGGCTCATCTTCATCACCAGGATCTGCGGTTGCAATGTTGGAACCGCTGTCGCGACTCGAAGTTGTGGAGACGAGTGGCATCCTTTGTTAAGGGCTGCCGCTGCTATATTTTGGTACTGCATTGATGGTACTGCTGCATTGGTAGGTTTAGTTAGTGCACGATTAGTTAGTACCGATACCGGAAACCAAGGATGTGAAGACAATGAATATGCAAGGTAGCCTTGGTAGAAGCTCTGAGGGCGGGGGCTGAAATCAGCCGTAGGTAAGAGTGTCACAGCAGCATTTTTGAGAATATTTTTCTAAAATTTGTCGTGTGCAATGCCTTCTGAGTCGTGTAAAAATTATACATAGTACTACCGGTTTTATAACCATCACTCATTTTTCTGTGAAACTAAAATCGTTATCGTTTGTAGTGAGATCTCCTGTTTATATGGGACACCGACACACTGACTTACCATGTTGATGACTGCTAAATTCTGAGATCTAAACAAAATTTCCTTTGATGTTGCAGTTGTTTTGTTTAGATCATGAGGATGAGGATGAGGTGCAATATTTTTGGTCCTTCATTTTGAAAATCATTATCGTAGGCGATGGTGCTGTCAGCCCTCCTGCACCACTAAAAAGGCTTCAGTTTGAGTCCTCTACTTAGTTGTTTTTCAGTTTTGAGAATAAAAATTCAAGTATTAAGACTTTGCATTTTGCTGCTCCTCATTGTCGATGGGTACACATCGAGCAGTGAATAGAGCATGGGCAGTTGATGCTCGACCATGGAGTTCGTCATCTGCGTTCCTTGAGTGATTCGCGATAATCACAGCAGGGGCAGAGCAGACGAGTAAACACGTGTTAAAAAATGAAGAAACCTACTTGATGACCTTGACGTGATGTCCTATGCATGGGACGAATGTTTGAAGAAAACCTCTCCTGACCTAAAAAGCTCTCGTCCTGACCTCATCATGTGATTACAACAGTGTACTATGTCTATTGTGTCATTGAACTTGAAGTTGTTCACGAGGTGGAGGTTTAGGACCACGTACATACTGGAGTCTACCTCTAGCCGCAGGAAAGCGACAATCATGTTCTTCATGAAATCCTGCTCAGTGTGAGTGTGTGTGTGTGCGTCGTGTGAGAGTGAAGCTGTACGCACACCAAAAAGAGCATCCGCCACGAGTTCATCTGTGGCTGAGAGAGCAACCAACTGACTGTGTGAGATGAAAGGTTCCACAGAATATTAAAAGTGTGTGGAAGGGAGGGAATGAGCCTGGGTAGTATGCTCAAAATTCAACAAACAAAACAAACAATTAAACATACCAGTAATCAAACATTTCTCCCAAATAAACAAGAAACCCCCTTCCCAAAACAAATGTAAGACATACCCCTGGATTGGGTTTACTACTACTACTACTATCAACAACTCAGGACTCTGCTTCCTACATGATGGCACACACCTACGTAAAAAAAACGACGAAAATCTGGTCTGAGGTACTAGAGGGAATCTACTGAAGAGAGTGATATAAATTCTATCGTCTGATCCTGAGAAAGAGCGATCATCTGTTTTAAGATAGAGCTATTAGCCGCTGTTCTGAGTTCACTGACTGAGAGTGTGACGATCTGTTTCAGAGACGCATCGAGATATTGGGAGATGATCCAGCATCGTCCATATTTTAAGCATGATTATCATCATGTTGAACTTGAAGACGTCTTATTCTTAATCCGACTTCTGTCCCTTGTTCACAAAACACAAAACAGCAGTGAGAAACGCTCCCTACATGAAAAAATTGACGACTTTGTCTCTCTCTTCCTTTCTGGCAGCGAGTTTTGCCCCCTGCCGAGTCGCTGGTAGGGAGTTTTAGAGTCCTTTCACCTCTATATTTAAGACTTTTGAGGACTTTATTTGACTTTTATTGAAGTCTGACTTTATTTCACTTCTATAGGTAGAGCACCAACTCAACATTGTTATGTAATCTTGAATTCTCACCGAGGATTCCCAAGCCCAACGACTACAACTCTCTTATCGAAAAGAATCCGATTTCGTGGGAGTTTTTTCACAGGGGACTCAGTTGCGGAGGTGAAGACTCTTTACAATCCTGATACATAAAGGTGGAGACTATAAAAACTTGAACTAGGTAAGTTAAAGCTCATCTTGTTCTTAATATCTGAACAAGTTTAACTATGTATAGGAGCTGAAAAAGGCATAATGAAGAAGGGTAGTCTTGCTCTTTGCAGCCCTAGTAGAGACGTTTTCGCTTTTTTTAGGAGATCGTCTACTTACATCTAGATGGAGGTTCTAGTCTTGACGGAGGTTCATCTATTAGCAAAATTCCCACACGCTTTGACAAAGTAGAATTACCGTAAAAAACCGCGGTTAACAAGGTGAAGGTCGATCATATTCTAGTTCTCAAATAGTCTAAGTACGGTCAGTTTATGGATTTTTTTCTTGAAAAATATAAAAAGTGTTTGTATTATAAGAAATTGTAGTTGAGTGGATTTTCCATGAAAATTAGTAAGTAGTACGGGCGGTAAAACCCTTTCCCTCGTAGCGTCCTCCTTGGGGCGATCTGCCGGAGAGCGTTGTCGCCTTGTATGGCGGCGAATCCGAGGCATCCTATCCTATCCTAAGCTATCCTATCCTATCCTATCCTATCCTATCCTATCCTATCCTATCCTATCCTATCCTATCCTATCCAAGAGTTTCGGAGTACAATGGAGTTTCACGTTAAGTTTTAGCAAAGTCGATAAAAACTTGTACCTCTTGGTGTCTTTTTTTATTTCTTGAAAAATAAAAAAAGTGTTCTAGTTGAGTGGATTTGCCATGAAAATTTGTACTAAGAAGTAGTACGGAGTAGGACAAGAATTTAGGAGTACTGCATATCACGTTTTTAAGTTTTAGTAAAGTAAGTCGATAAAAACTTTCAATATTTATGGTTTTTCTCTCAAACAGAGACAGCTTGAAAGATCATGAGCTCCACACTCAAAGGAACAGCGCTGTTTCTTTGATTGGAGGCGCCACCCTCCTGGGGAACAACTACATCCACTTCGCAGAAGCCACTTCCGCAGCCAGCTGCTGTCCGTTCAATGACATTACCTTTAACATTCCGGGTCGCAGCTTCGGAAACTCGTACTTCGCTCAGGTCGTCTCGGAATGGACTAACATTACTGGTGCGACCACAGTGAACACCCCGGTAGCCGCAAGATCCGGTTCCTTGCTCAAAAAATTTGTTGCTCAAAAATTTGGCCGTCTTCTAGTCCAAGTATGGAGCACCGCTGGAAGGCACCACCTGGCCTCTGGAAGGAATGCGACTAGTACATCAGTCTTTCGCACCATTGTGTTCTTCACCAGTCAAGAATGAAGCTGGAGGAATATGAAATGAGGGGAGAGCGAGTTGTGAGTTTTTTCCTGAGAGAGTGACGAGTAAATATACTAATATGCATGTGCCATTTGCATTTCTTGCGAAAGTTTTGGTAGCCAAAAAAGTGAAAAAAAAGTTTTTTATGCCTGAGTGTTGAGAGAATATGATGGACTAGGAATGTATTGTGTTTCCTCATATAATGGCAAGGTGTTCTGGCTGCACGTTGTTGCTGAGGATTTTTTTGTTGGATTCGTCCGCCACTTTCTTTCTTATCTTTCTTCATTTAGCGAGGACAGCAACATCATTCCAATGAAAAAACGAGAACGAGAAGTACTACGAGATTTTTTGTGGTCAATTTGTCTACCAAAGATACAACTGATGAAAAAAAAATTTTGATTTTTACAACAGGAATGTCATGGGGAGCGCTCGGGATATGATCGGAGGTTAAATTGTAGCACTTTTCTATTGTATCTATTTGTAGTAAATCTAGTAGGTGTCCCGTAAAAATAAATTTGTAGCTGGTTGTTTCTGGTTTTGTCGATTCATTGACGCTCTCTAGCAAGAGAAGTAAGGTTGAGGGTTTCCGAACTACATCCCTTCCTACCAGCCTTGGGGGCTCCTTTTCAAGGGGGAAAGGGTTTCCGAATTACATCCCTCACTACCAGCCTTGGCTGTTAAGGGTTTCCCAATTACATCCCTCACTACCAGCCTTGGCTCCTTTTCATCAAGGGGAAAATAGGTCAAGGATGTTCTGAAGAATGCACCCTGGAAACCTCGCCGTTTACGGAAGTGCGTCCGCGTCGTCTAGGGCCTAGAAGTAGTTCTCACAAAAATTGTCGCCTTGTAGAAGTAGCTTGAAACACATTTTGAGTACGGACATTTCTGCAGTAGGTATAGAAGATTGGTACTACATACAGATAGTTACTTACTACACTTTCTCCTTGCTAGGTAGTAGCTAAAATATTTATATCATACAGAGCAAGGGAGGCTGAAATTTTTGTCGTCTTGTAGTGCTAGAGTGAAGACGGCGACGGGTGAACAAGACGGTGATCATCGTCGACGTCGTGGTATTTACTGCTTAGCTACTGATAGTAGCAGGGAGGCTCAGAAAGACACTCGGCGACGTCATCCTTTCTAGAAGTTGTACATTGATCACTGACTACGACAATATTTGTCCGTGCTGCTATTCAGCAAATCTAATGTCTATCAACATCCTCTTCAACATCTTCTAAAGATAATATATCAGAACATCTTGAAGTACATACATCTTCTAAAGATAATATATCAGAACATCATCTCGTTTTGAACATACAAACAGTTTCGACAAAGTAGGCAGGAGTAGAGAAACAGAAGCTCGAAGTAGAACCTCCAACAACTACGGGGGGTATTAATTATCGTCCATCTTTCTAGATTGCTACAAAAAAGCTGAGGTGGGAGGTGCTGCGAAGCACATATTGATGGAGTAGTATCTATTCTTTTTGACCCTTCGTAGGAAAAGTGTTGCTATCTTCAATGTTCGTATCGCGAGCAATATAGACCCACGTACCAAAATAAAAAATTGTATTGGTTGCAGCGTGAGTGAATGAATGAATAACCAAGTAAGTACTTAGCAGGCATCTTTGAAATTTTTCTCGCGGACGGAGGAGCGAGGCCTTAGAAAAGTAAGGCAACAACAAGGCGACTTCTTCGCTATACACTTCAACAGCCGGTGAGATTCTAGGTATTTGAAGATTTGTTGATCACATTTTCTTGAGGTACTATTCATATTCATCTGGGGTCAGGGTATCTTCCCTGAACGTGAACTGGTGTGGTGCGACGATCTCGGGGGATAGAAGCTCCATGGAAAAACAGAATCCACGATAGAATTTTTGATTTTGGCATTTGATACACCACTTGATTGGTATCTATAACCAAGTGAGAAACCCAAAAAGGAACTATGGTATCCCTGTATCAACTCGTGTGAACAAGAATTTATTTTTAGATTGCACCTTCTGCGCGCGAGCGTGCGTCTGCGTTGCACGGCGTGTGGTAACTGTTTACTTCTTTCTTCAGTGACTTGATCAACAAGACAATAAATTAATGAAAAATAGAGAGCTGTACTAGTAGTTGTTGTGTACAACTAGTTTTTTTTTTGATTGTAGCAAAACCAAAATACTTAAGTAAATGATCACGGGAAGGGGAAATCCGTAAAACTCAGAAGAGATTCAGGGAAGTCGTAGGACAATTCCGAACCGACTAACATCATCAAACAAATGATCACGCTGCTATGAAGAATATCTTGTTCCGTGTGTAACAATAAATTGGAGGACTGTCTCTCATCTTTTCCTCCGAAATAGTTGTCCCAATTACTCTATTAAAAGTAAGTTGATGAACCAAAAAAAAAATGGTAATGGTCGTGCTGCTGCTGTAAGTGGCGCACCAGGCATCTGATAAACAAGAACAAGGAACCTTGCCTAAGACAAAGTGCGAGCTAGTCGTACTTCTTGGCAATAACAAACAAGGCCAGAGAACTACAAGCAGGAGAAGGAGCGACTGTGGAAGTCCTTGGGAATCTGCCAAAAGGCAGAGGCATTATGTCTTCTATCTCTGGTGGAGTTTTGGAAATCAGCAGCGGCCCCAGCGCAAAGATTATGCTTCACAACAAGAATAGACTACTTGACACACAATCAACAATTTTATTCATCAATTGAGCAACTTTTTTTGTTTGTAGTGCGAGCGAGTCGCGATAAGTCAAGATCTACCTTCTTGGACCCGATTCGCTCACTTTGAATTCTTGAGTAGATGTTCCAAGAAGATACAAGCTGGACCTTCATGTCAAAATGGTGAAATATGATGAACAGTCATAGTTGTAGTTTTTCTTGCAAGAATTAATTTTTTAGATTGCTTTGCCTGCTTTAGTTGTACGCTTGATAGAACCCACTAAAAAATATGAAACATCAGACCTTTTCCTAGCTGTTCTTATCCTTCTAATGTGAATACTCTCTCCGCTTCTACCCGACAGCAGGAGGAGCACCTGTTGTACAACAACAGCGAACACTCCTATTGGGCACGGGAACGAGGGCGCACGGCTGAAAGCGCCCTGAGAGTGGCTAACATGGCGTCTTTCGAATCGGACGTTCAGACAGGGGCGCCGCTAGAAGATTTTGAGAATAACAACAACAATAACAACTTCGAAGATGGACCTGCTGGAGGTCCTGCTGGATGGTCGTCTAAAAAGGACGTTGACAAGAGTCAGCAATTTCATCTGGATCCGGAGTTTTACACTTATGGCACTTCTACTCTGTCTATAACTTATAGTCTTCGACGTATATAACATAATTTATCTAGTATCTTAGATACTAGCACCAGCACGATGTCACGATGGTGTTTCTTAACTACAATTTTTAGATTTACGTTCAAGAACTTGCAGCTGAATGTGAATTATCTGAAGTCTTCATCTACCTTTTTCAGTATATTAAATTATCAATGTTGTAGCTCTTCTAACATGATAACAAGAAAAACTGGAGCAATGCGGGAGGATCGAATGCTATCACCGGTCTAGGGAAGCAAGATGCTATAGAAAGTATTGGACTTGCTACTCCCACAAATGATCGTGGGAAAGGGACTCCTTCGACTGCGGCTACGGGGACCACTTCGTCGGGGGGAACGAGTCCCTATGATGGAGGTCACTCGCCGGGTCCTGATGTAGAGGCAAGTCCAGTGCACTTTGCACCTCACTCTCGAACTAAAGATTCCGATCTTGAGGTCTCCATGCGTTCCACGAAGTCTACGGCGTGTACAGTTAGTGGCACTTCTCTGTCAGCTCGCAAGCAACAAGGGTCGCCGCGTAAGCTGCTGCGTCAGTCCTCTCGCGAGACGGGGCACAGTGAACTGCTGCTGACAGGTACTTAGGTTCAGGCTCACCCACTTGTAGTATGACATCTTTCGTGCTTCGGCATGATCTCTTCAAGATGGTCAAGTAGCTCTTGGTTCGATATGAATGAAATGATCAGGAGATAGACTTTGTATTCCGACCGACTACTCACAGCACGCATTGATGAATGACCTGAATCTGTTTACTCCTCCAGAATTTCCCACGCCGTGGCCTTCCTTCGACCGAAGTGCACCACGCAGTCCGTCCGGCTCCATTCTCCGCTCTACCAGCAAAGCAGGCTCTAGCACTCCTGAGACTGGCGGCATCCGTGGACCGCGCTACATGCTATCCGAGTACAAGACCAAATTGGACTCGTTACTCCGCGAGTACTTCCTAGGCGGTGACTTTCAGGCTTTCGTTGAGCAAGTGCATGCGTTACGGTGCGATCCGTTCAACGATATTCTGGTTGCTACGGTGTTTCGTTTGGGGTTGGATCAACGCTGGAGCGAACGAGTCCATGGTCGCGACGATCACCGCATGGTGAACGCTAGAAGCGGAGAAGTGCCTCCGCAACACTCGTTGAGCTGGCAAAACCTGCTAAAAGCATTGTTGGCGGAACAGGTACGTAGCACATTATCATGGTTCTTGTTAGGTCAACATAACTCCTTCTGGGCCTGTAGTTTTATGTCATTATGAAGAAGTGAAACGTTGTTCCTGAACTACATCTTCAATAATATTTATGAATCCAGGTCATCAGTCAGATCGAGTTGATGCGCGGGCTCTATGGTTATGCCTGTGGCATGCGCGACTTGCAGCTGGACGTACCGCACGCTCCGCAACAGTTACTGAACTTCTTTGCTTCTCTTGCCAGTATTAATGAAGACTACGCGAACAAACTTGACTTCGATGAAGACTCCGCAGCTAGTATGGGGTCGTTAGACGCAAGAACTGGAGGACAGCAGAAGAGGGAGGTAGAGCCGTCGAAGGCAAGATCGATTAGTGCAACTAGTCCGTCTTCTAACGAGAAAAGCTCGTGTGGCGGCGCAGAGGAACAAGACCTCAGCAACAAGCTGTTGCCTGCCAGTATTCTTTATCGTCTTCCAGAAGACATCCTTCGTGGCGAGATCGAGGATGGTGTGCTAGTCCTGCGCGCAACGTCGTTGCATTTCTCCGAGTCGCCAGTTGGCGGTGGAGGTGGTCAGACTCAGAGCAGCACGACAACGCCAAGCAGAGCCGACGACTCAGCTGCCTACCTAGATGACGACAATCGTTCCGCTACCTCCTCAGCGATGATGTTTCAGCAAGGGATGGGAGGCGACGAATTGTTGCGACAGCACATGCTAGATGCGGAACAGCATGTTTTGGAGCAGCAAAACGAACTGTTGCGGCAGCACATGCCAGGAGATGCGGAAGTTCCGCATGTTTTGGACGAGCAGCAAGATAATTTTGACGTCTATAATGAGGATTACACGGACATTGCTGACGAAATTCGCAGCTACAAGCGTATCATTCAGCGCGTCCTTCGCGATTTCTTCGTGTCGAAAGATACGGAAAGGGTTCGCTCCACGTTAATGGATTTGAGCGCAAAGAATGGGCAGCACACACTGCTAGCGCATGAGTTTGTGAAGCGCGCGGTTGTTAGCAGCTTAGATTTCGGGACTAGCGAACAGCGTCAGGTTGTTCACTTGCTGAAAAGTTTGATGGGACCAACGCAAGGAAAGAGCGGTCCTGCTAGTACTTCTGGAAATCATACGCCTTTGCTTCGCAGCGAAGACGTCCAACACGGCACTGCTATGGTCCTAGGTCGTCTCCAAGACATCTTAGTTGACGTCCCGCATGCCAAGAAAATCCTCGTCGAGATCTTGACCGCCTTCGTAACCGAAGAGATCATTTCCGCGGACCTGTTAAAGAAGAAGCAACAGTTGGAATACGGTGGTTTCCAAGGGGTTGAGGTGTTACGTGAAGTGTTGCATCGCACTCCCGAGTACTCGCGTCGCATTTGGTGCAGCGGTTTGGACGATCGTGGGCTGTTGAATGAGATGGACCTCGCAATCCGCGAGTTCTTCGACTCCTATGATGCAGAAGAAGTCGACCGCATTCTGACCGAATTGCGCCTCAGTCGGGAGATGCTCTTGAAGTTTATCAAGAAGATCATCCTCTACTCGATCGAGAAACGCGACGTCCACTGCGGACTGCATTTAGTTTCCTATTTGTACGGTCGTCAGTGGTGGTTTCAGAACGATGTGGAGGATGCTGTGGAATCCATCCGTTTAGAGACGGATGACTTACTACCTGACATCCCGGATCTGGGGGAAGCCACGTCGTACGTCGTGGATCAGGCGAGTCGTTACGGACTAGTGTCCGAGAACTACCTGCGGCAGGATCAGCAATATCTGGTCTGAGCTTCTAGGGAGATGAAGGGAGGGTTACAGGATCAGCAATATCTGGTCTGAGCTTCTAGGGAGACGAGGGGACCGTTACAGGATCAGCAATATCTGGTCTGAGCTTCTAGGGAGAAGGGACAGTTAATACAGCAGTACCTGAGCTTCTAGGGAGATGAAGGGAGGGTTATAGGAGCAGTACAACCCTGTCCTCCCTAAGCAGCTAATGTACTGTTTGAACCACTATAATGTACTGTTTGGTGACAGAGTTAGCCTGGCCAAGATGTCTTCTTAAAAAGACAATAAGAACAAGGGGTGATGGGTTGGCGACAAAAAAAACAAAAGAAAAGTTTCACTATGTTGAGTGATGCACGATTCTGGGCATTAGGCTGAGTGAATCATGAGTCACATATGTTCTTCGGAAAATTAGAGAGCATCTGTTAGTGGGTGCTAAAGGTTGGCGGAGGTCTTGTTTTCTGATTATGCAAGAACGAAGATTTATTCTTATCGAACAGGAAATATTATGCTTTTGAATTCCAGCGTTTAGGTATAGAGGGGTGAAAGGTAAGGTCGAAAAACCTTTGATGAAAGTTATTTAATCAGTTCACGATAGTAACGATTATCCAACTAGTACTAGAGTGTTGAAGATACTAATATTATTCACAAATAACGAAATGCTTAGCCTTACTATGCTGGTAGCCTCAGCAGCAGCATCATCTTCTTCTTCATGCGAGAGGAACAGAATGAAGAAATTTGAAATTATAGAAGTCTTATACTGGAGTATTGAGGTGTTTATTTTGCATGTCTTTTTTCAAGCAACATCTGCTCATCAAACTCACCAGATCAACAACATCATTGGATTAATTAGGTACTCATTCGTGGTGCCTTATAAAGTACGTACCTGCTATCTTCTTGCTCAATGCTCGTACCATCATGGGGTTGGGGCGGTAATGTAAACCGACTTGTTAGTCGTTTTACTACTAGCAGCACAGATGCTGGTGAGGGGAAGATCTCATTAGGAGAAAATACCTTGGTGCGGTGGAACTGGAAGTAGACACCCACACCTCTTTGCATATGCATTGGAGCATTAATTATAATATGATCCAGTGGGTGGTCGTATTGGTATTGACTTGACTTAAATATTATATGATCCAGTGGGTGGTCGTATTGGTATTGACTTGACTTAAATATATGATCCAGTGGGTGGTCGTAATCGTATTGGTATTGCAAAAGTCAAAAGATAGAATACAAGCAAAAAGTTTTTCCATCATCACAATTACAGACATAGGAAGTGAGTATAGAAGAGATCGAGTAAAAGTTCTTCAGTCCTGTAGAGGTAGAACTGTAGTTAGTTCTTCTTCTTGTTTTCCAATTATTACTACTATTTCGTATTATTTTTAGAAAGATTTATATGTTATCATCTTCAACAGCCAACACGAAGAACAGCACGGGGAGCATGCTGATGCCGATGGGGAGGCAAGGGGGCTGGATAGCAGACTGAGACTCATGTTCCTGACATAAAAGTGGGTATGACTTTAAGAATACCGTGGCTTCTCTATTTCTTCTTGATCTAAGTACAACTAAAGACCTTTTTACTGGAGTATTAAAGTCGTTAGATGAGAGTTTAATTTTGCTTTTATTCTGTAGTTTCTTGTGTCTTCTCAAGCTTGAAGATGTTGAACTTGTTTTCGACAGAGAGCTCGTTGTATTTTCCTTTTACATGAGTCGGGTCTAGTTATTTTCAGTCGCTGGTGTTGAAGATGTTGATGGTTGTATAGAAGTATTAACATTCAGGAAAATCTGTTGCAAAGTGCAATCAATTGATCATGTGTCGTGTAAGAAAATGATAGATCTGCTAGGATATGGGGTAATTCAATCTTATTGAAGATTGATGGGTTGGGATGGGTATTATCCATAGGGTGTTGAAATAGGTTTTTCTAAAACATAACAAGATATTGATATTCTTTTTTCAGATATGTTGCATCGGTGGACTGCAGGCAGAAGCTTATAGATATGACTCTTCAGAGAACGACGAGAACAGAGCCTCCTGGATAGAATTATATGGTAGCTGGTACCAAATACCAACATCTCTGCTGCCTGGTAGTAGTTGCAACTCATGTCTGACTGAAGAACATCAAACACAAACTTCATATTCTTGAATTCTCGAACGCGGTTCTTCTTTGTGTAAATATTTTAGATTCTTAAAGGAACAGCATCAAACAAAGTCAGAAGTGATCAACAGGGAACTCGTATAGCATATGCATAGGTACGTTTGATTTTCTCGAGGTTGTTTGGTGCTCATCTTCGACTTCGATTTCGACATACAATTCCAACATCTGCACTGCATGAAAAAATTCTTCAGTGAGACAAGAACTGCATGAAAAGAGTTGAAGGAAAAGTTACACGTTCGGTTACACAGTTATCTGGACTTCCTCAACAGCAGGAGCGCATGATATCTTGGAGGTTGTGTTCTAGAAAAACCCGAACAATAAAAGGAGATCTTAAAAACACAAAAATAAGGTCAAACTGTGGACGGCGAGCCAACTCCTATCCTATCCTATACCTATAAGCATCAACGTCAAGCTTGGCCCGATCATAGTTCTTGAAGACAGAGGGTGAGTGTGTGAACAAAAACGTCTGTACAAAAAGAAGAACTTCAGGAAGTTGCTAAAGTTCTTCTTTTCGTACACGCTATACATTTATACCTTATTTATTTCAGACTTGAGGACGAGACATGCAGCGATGGAAATAAGGACACCGTGAAGGGCTTATGAGTAACGACGTGGAGTTTGGAGGTATTAGATTAGAGATTAGAGATAAAAGAAACGAAGTACGGGAGTAGAAACGAGGTCAGCGAGCATTAAAGGATCTCACTGGTCTATGAAGAATGGATGTTCTTGTTGAGCGATCTTGACTCGTCTACTCTGTCCCTGTCAGTTGAGCGATGAACAAAATGCCTCCAACCTCTGTAATGCCAATCTCTGTAGTGTCTTCAAAAACGACGCTTGAGTCTATTAATACACCTGAGTCTACTAGTATCAAATTGTGTCTTCTTCACAAAACCAAGAGAGCCGTGAAAGAGAGAGAGAGAGAGTGCGCTTTTTGGCTATGCTGTTCTAAAATACATGATGAGGATCTCTGTCATTTTGTGAAGCATAAGCTCTGCAGAACTTGTTGAGTTTAGATATAGAATTTTATCCAACTACATGTCATCACCTCGAGAGAAGAAGACCTATGTTGGTCTCTGTGTCTCTGTGTCTAAGTTTCTCTGAGGTTGTAGAGCAGTGGAAGTGCGGAAAATTGTTGTAGTGTGCAGGAGAATGATCCACACGTCGCTTTAATCGTGTTGAAGAGCGACGTCATCTACCAAGCGCTTGAGGAAAAAGCGTCATCTGATAAACCTCTGTCTACGTGGTACGAAGATCTCTGTAGAGGAGCGATTTGAGTAGTATGTGAGGTCTCGATCATTTCATTCTTTTTCCATGTAAAGTCAGTCTACTCAAAAATATCCTGAGCAGTTTTTATTTCAATGTGAAGGATCCACAACCTAGCCTATAACCCTAATATTTCTCTTCCTCCTTGTTCCTGCATGCCTTCCTGGCCTTTTTCTTTCCTCCCCTTCCACTTACAACTGAGTATGCTAAAAATTTGATATTCCCTTTCATGTTTGATGAAGATTTCATCGACCACATCTTCTTCATGAAAACTGAATTACTATACAGACTACTCTCTTATATAAGGTTAACAAGATAGAATAGATTAGGACCACCACCTACAACTTGCACTTGGTACTATTATAATAGATAGCGACTGTAATCATGATTCGTGATTCGTCAGCTGTCTATTCTCTACCACTTCTAACCTAAAAATAAGTACCGCTTATTTTACTCAGTCCATCTTCCTGGGAATCTTCCATCTTGCTGATCTTCAACCTCAGTACTTACAAGATGAAGAGAGACATCAAAAGCAATGGTAGAAAGGTCACTAAAGAGGACACATCAGGATTTCTTGAGAATCGTATTCAAAACGACTCCTTGTCCTTGTCGTCAAAGAATATGATGTCGTCGTCCTGCTCTCCAAAAGTGTCGTCTGCTAACAAGAAAAACTACAGCGAAGGTGAAAGTTTGGTGGTGGAAGCGACTGCAAAAGGGAAAAGTCCTCAAGATCCTGCTCAACATCGTCCTGTCCTAATTGCGCCAGTCGATCAAGATGAGGAGAATGTCTCAGTTTTCATCGCTTCTGGGCGCATGGATAACATCAGGAGACGAGATCAGCTAGGCGACGATGGAATGTCAACTTTTTTACCCCCTGGAGCCGAGGACGAAGACTCTGAGGGTCGTGAAGATACAAGAAAACCTGGCGGTGCTCCTGCTCGTGGTAAGGCTACAAGAAATCCATCTTCACAGGCATCTTCCTTGGTTCCGCTTCTAAAGGGAAAAGTGGACCCAAGACGCTGCTGAAGATGGATTTCTCTTACTTCTAATCGTGGCATACTGAAAAAAGCTGGAACAACTTCTGTTGAAGAAGATGAGCATGTTGGGATCATGGATAACAAGCAGGAAGTGAATCTGGAATATCTTCAAGATGAACATCAGAAGAATCTTCCTGGTGTAGTGTTTAAGGATGAAGCTACTTCTGTGCGTGTGATCAAGTCATCGAGAGGAAATGACCCGCCTCCAGTGCTGGGTATGATGATGCCATCGCCAATACTGGAGGACGAAGATGCTAGTAGTGCTAGTGACCTTGACGTCGACGATCAAGAACAAGGAAACGGCGGTGCTGTGAGCAACAAAATGAGACGCGTCAGCACCTCCACACCTGCTAGAAGATCTTCATCAAGCTTGGAGAAATACACGACCCCGAATGATGCAAGAAGAACAACTAGAACCTCAGTAGATGATGAGGGTGCTCACGCGATGCCGGCTGAATCGCCGAGGATGATGCCTGCCGAAGGAGGTGACGATAGTGGTTCAGCGGATGACCATAATTTGGATATGAATTTTCCTCCAACAGCAGCAGAACCCGCAGGAGCAGGAGCTGATCATGAAGAAATGGCGACCTCCACTCCCACTGATGAACCTTCGGGAGAAGCGGACAACAAAGTGGAACTCGGAAGGGGAAGTTCCGCAGGAGATCCTACGGGCAGCAAAGCAGCGGACAACAAAGTGGAACTCGGAAGGGCAAGTTCCGCAGATCCTACGGGCAGCAAAGTAGAACTCGGAAAAGCTTCAGGCTTCACGGACATGGAGCCTCAAGTGCCTCAACGAGGGGACGGTGCGACTGAACTAGAGAACAACGAAAAGAAGCGAGAGGGCATTCATAACTCTACAGCTGCTGCGGATGAGTCGGCTAACGAGGGAAACGAAAATGATGGATCACCAAAAGAACGCGATGAAGAAGAAGAGGAAGAAGAAGAAAAGCTAGATGATGTTGAAGTAGAAGCGCCACCAGATGTTGAAGTAAAAGCGCTACCGGAAAGAAGTTCTGGCAGCACGACTCTTGGCAGCACTCCAAAGAGTCCACGACCAGTTCTGCCAGCGCCGACGGCAACGATGATACGCGCCACCTTGCCTGAAGATGAGGATGAAGATGACCACACCGAAACCGTTCAAGAAGGAGCTCCTGCTTCATCCCAAGTAGAAGCTCCAGTGTCATCATCTCATGACCCCAGAGAAACCGTTGAAGTAAATGAAAATTAAGGCTCTCGCCCCTGATCCATCTCCAGAAGGATCGATCTTGGAGCTTTATTTCCATAACGAATGGATATGGAAAACGGCTTCAAGACGAGTCTCAAGATGGATTTTTAGGGTCCGCTCTAAGAAAATGACTTTTACACATCCATACTCGTGGGGGAAGAGGATCAACATCAGTCTGAGACACGAAATGAAGCAGAACAAGTAGAAGTAGAGGGAAGAACCTCCAAGGAAGACCGAAGGAAGGACGACCTTTCTTCAACTAATAGTGCTAGTACTGACAAAAAATCCAAGAGAATAACTCTGCGTCTGCCTGATACTTCTGCGCGTACACGTGCTCAATCTCGTCGTGGTCTACTACAGATGAACTTAGCAGGAGTAGAACAAGTAGAAGTAGAGGGAGGAACCTCCAAGGAAGACCGTGACCGAAGGAACAAGGAAGACCTTTCTTCAACTAATAGTGCTAGTACTGACAAAAAATCCAAGAGAACAACTCTGCGTCTGCCTGATACTTCTGCGCGTACACGTGCTCAATCTCGTCGTGGTCTAGGAGAGATGAAAATTTCTTCTAAACTATCGTTTAGAGAAGCGGCGCCGGACCTGGCTACGACTTTGTCCAAAAGAGAAGCTGATCTTTCGATTTCGGATGTGCAGGAAAACGAGCTTTCCACGAATTTGTCTGCTACTGATGTCCCTGAAGATGTCTCTAGTAAAAAGACGAAACCTGCTGCGCCAAGAAAAGATCTGTCACAAGAACTCTCGCGATCGCATGCTCTACTTCCCACAACTAACATAGTAGATGATGAGCAGCGAGCTGTTGAGAGTCAAGAACAAGAGAAACCTCCTCCATCGCCTTCTCCAGTAGATAAGATGAAGAAGAACAACACTCGTGCTATAGCCACTTTTCTTTCCGATTTGGATGTTGACGAGGATGATGATGACGACGAAGGGGGCTGTACTAGTTTTCAGAAAAATCGTCCGAGTCATGGCCGTGGCATTCATGACATTACGAGTTCACCAGGAGATCGAGATCTACCTTTATGGCTTGATGTGGTTGCGAAAATTCCAGTGATCCGTCTACCTACGTACTTGTTTCCCAGCATCTTCTTGCTTGGCCAAATTATTTAAGTGTTTATTAAGTGTAGTTGTACCTATTAGTGGATGTATGTACCTATTAGTGGATGTATGAAGTATATGTATTTGTACTACTTATGTAACCTCAACATCTACTTACATGAATTACTAGATTGTCAGCTTATTTGAATTTTGAAGGGAATAACTAAAACAAAAAGGGCGACACCAATTCCAAGATACTGATCTCGACGACAAGATAGATATTTATTTTTCGCCAATAACTTCAAGGTCGTGTTCATCTAATACTTGATGCTGGTAGTTATGTGGGCAAGAACAGGAACAGAAAGGGGGCTCCTGTCCAGCGGGATTGGCGTGTCCTACATAAGAAAGGGAGCAACTACGTGTACGTTCATAGTAGACTCGAAATGGTTGACCAAGAAGCCGAGCGCGACTATCGAAGCCACAGACTGACACAGTTGCAAAAGGAGGCACCCGATCTCCCCATAGACATCCTAGAAAATCGCGTGAACGAAGAGATGCTGGCTACTGCGCCTCTACCGGACGACTATTAAGGCAGCTCAATATGTTCTTTGTATTTCATGATATTATAAAGTCTAAACAACTCATTTCATCTCGCAGTTCTTGTTTCCTTCTTCTTGGATCTACTTTTAAGAGAAAATTATAGAGGCACAAGTATTCGAAAACTCAAAATGACCGAGTTACTGACTGAAATAAGCGAGGTAGCTTAACATCAAGGCTACTCTTCCTTCCCATCAGTATCTCGGATATTTTCGTCTGTTACTCGCTTATTTTAGTTTTTCTGAAATAAAGAAATAGAAATACTTTATTAGAGAGCTCTCTAAGATTTTGTGGCGTTCCAGCCGTACTGCAAAAGCGTGGTTCCCTATGGTATGATGGGAGGCCGTGAGACGCAGTTGGTGCTGGAGCAGGTCGCCGCAAGGGAGGACTTCGAAGACTGGAAAACGGAACGCGACCGAGCACGCAATCGCTTCGAGCGTGCGAATAAGGGCAGTCTATACTTAAGGGTAGGTTTTTAATATAGGTGCTGTTCCTGGTGTTTCCGTTTGGTGTTATGCCTCTCCTAAGGGAGACTGACAGGCATAAGAAACGGGATAAGTACTCAGAAACATCACCAAAACCCTCTCTCTAATATGCTCGACGTCCTTCGACTTTGAGGCGTACGCAGCACGACTACCGCGAGGTCCGGACTTTCCGTGGGAAAGGAAGCGCTTCAACACAACGTCGCAGCACAACAGTCGGAACGAATTCAATCGAGACGACCCGCCGAACCTCAATGACATTCGAGATTTGATAAGACTTGGCGGTCCTGCCTTTCATCTCAAGAATTCTCAGATTTCTGGTGGAGGTTCTTCTGCTCATCGTAATATCCACGCGGAAGGTGAGTCAACATCCCACCGGCAGCTCTCTATTAAGGGTTTCCACATTACATTTACAGGCCGCATCACCATCCTTGGCCTTTTTTCAAGTACTCGAAATCTTAGAATAAGCGATAGCGAGTTACTGCGTGAAATAAAAGAGTCGCTACTATATTCCTCTTCTTTCAGTGTCTCGCTTATTGTAAGAAGTAGCTACTCGGTTATTTCAGTTTTTCGAATAGAAGAAAGGCGAAGGATGTTCTGAAAAATGTAAAAATGTGGAAACCTTTAACTCTAGTGTTAGTGGAGCTCCTTCTTCTTTTCGTCGTAATATTCAAGCCGAACAAGGTGAGTCAACATCTAGTACATCCCAGCCATCGTCCCAGCAGCAACAGGTGCTTCCTCGTCGTGTACGTATACAGCAAGCAGAAGGTGAGACCAAGGCTGACTATCGTGAACACGCTTCCTACATTGACGATGAATTTGATGCCAGGTTGAAAGACGAAGACCTGGATCTCATACTCCATAAACTTAAGGGACGAGGCTTCCATTTTAGACATGATTTACATTGTTCATCTTCACTAGTTGTACATTCATCTTCATGTTCTGGACTTGTAGAAGTGTTCTTGTTCTTTCCCAGTACCATTGTTCTGGACTTGTAGTGTTGTTCTTTCCCAGCCGTAGGTGGAAATGATGAGTCATCATGATCATGAGTTCTTCTTCTTGTCATGGATATAGATGACAGCCTGCGCTAATGAAGAGTGGGAAATCGTCCAGGCTGCGAAGCACATGGATCCTTTGGCGGACCCTTTATTTGACTATCGGCACCAGTACTACAGCAACGACCCGCACCGAAGAAGTAACGTGATTATGAACAAACGGACACGCTTGTGGAGGAGGTCAGAATTTAGGGAAAATTAGGGGATATTATGGCTCCCTAATTTTCCCTAATTTTCCCTGTGTGGGAGGTTCTTTAAGCGTGTCCGATTGTTTCTAACGTGAACGACCCTGACCGTTTTCATCATCTGATTCGTCGGGTCGTCGACGGCAAGCCTTACAAGTTTAACACATCACCCGTGATTGACTACGTCGCCTCCCAGCTCCGCGAAGAGCATTACGGACGTCTGCGGAATGGGGGACACGCTTTTACGCAACGCTACCTGCGGCTTGAGCGTATGGCGGCTGACAACTGGCTTAACCGTGATCGCAGACTACGACAGTGGCGGTGGCGAAAGAGAGCGTTCATGGACCGGACAGGCACCTTCGATGACATGATTCAGGATTTGAAAGAGGTTGACGGTTTTGAAGGCATGACCCGGCAATCTGTGGTGCTCAAGGAGGAGCAGAAGGAACGGCATACTGACTACAGTGCTCCCCCAGAAGGTCCGAATCAGAAGCAACCATTAAGGCTTGAGGAAATACAAGAAGAACATCCTACATACTTACATTACATATACCATGATCTTGTTCATCCCAGTCAACATCTTGTTCATCATCCAATTTAATGATCAGATATTATAGTCTTTGTCTTCCTGCTGCTGCTGGTTAGAGGCTCTTTGATGCAGACGGAGATGTTGCTCTCTACTAGGATCCGGAGATGTTGCTCTCTACTAGGATCATGGATCATTTCTGCGAGAAGTTCTAAAGTAGCCAGTGCCAGGAAATGGAGAATACGAGGAAACAAGGAAGCACAAGGCGCCGATGGTGCCTGGCAAAGGCATAACCTTGGACGAATTTCGGAAACCCGAATCGCGAAAATTAGACAAGTGGGCAAAAGTGTATCGCTACATTAAGCGACATCCGGACATGGACAAAAAGGAAATTTAAGGCTTCTTGCACGTTGACCTATCTGAGAGCATATCTACTACCTTTTTCCCAAGAAAAATAGTCTATGTCTTCTATGACCTGCTTACATTTTCAAGGACGGGAAAAAGGATCATAGACTCATCATGCGAGCTGTAGATGGGTCAAGAATTGGCAACCCCTGCTAAGATATTATGGAATTGACGAAGATGCAGCAAAAAAATGCTGCCACATTGACCATAGAATCGCCTAAATTCGCCGCGTTTAATCCGAAGATGCACTTCTATTCCCAACCAGCCGAAGGGTCGTCTTCATCTTCAGATGCTGGAGAGGTGGAGACGATAATCATTAGGCCTCCGGAAGGTGGACGAGGTGAAGAACACCAGGATTCAAATTCATCTTCGCCGAAACTATTCTACTTACAGCAAAACGACGAGTCTAGAAGTTGTACAGCGGAGCAGCAGGAGGACAAAAACGACGAAGGAGCCGCTTCTTCAGCTGAAGAACCTTCTATCAATTCGGCCCTTGGAGCCGCAGAAGCAGATCCACCTTCCAGTGATGAAGATGTGATGACTTTAGTCCCTCATACTCATCATCCGCGTCCTGAGGGAGGGGGGAAGTATGCGCATCCGCCTCCACGTGTTTCCTTTTTAAGGCTCCAAGAAAAAGAAATCCATCTTAGCCAGCATCTTGGTGCTCCCGTTGGATTCTGCTTGAGGGAAAATATAGCGAGCATCCAGGAGGTGCTCCACGAGATGGATTTCTTCTACCTTTAACTCTTGCAGCATTTCCTGTTCGAGGCACGACGCGAGAGGGATTCCGCGCTTCTGTTGCGGCATCTAGGGCATCGGGTGCAACCGGCGGGTCTCGCAGTCTCGACTTGGGTCTCGCAAATATGAACGCGCTGATGCGCGATTGGCAGATGGAGGATGAAGAAGATGACCGTATTCGAAGGACAAAAGCTGCTGCCCTACTTGCTCGTCTATCGGGTGGAGAAGGGGAGGATGTTAAGGGTTTCCACATTTTTACATCCTCCAGCGACATCCTTGACCACATTACATCCAAGTGGAAAGTAGGTCCGGGATGATCTGAAGAATGTAAAAATAATTGCGCAGGAGCCTCTAAAGATGTCTATGCAGGCCATGATAGTGGTCATGACCACCTGCATGATAGTGCTGTTGTTCACGCGGCCCTGAATAAAGCAGCACCAAGACGTGTGGCTGATAGTGGGGCATTCTCGGATGACGATGCAATGGATCCAATGACAGTCCTGAAACAGGAACGCGAACTAGAGCAAATGATCGAGAAAGAAATGGAGCAAAGAACGTCCGCTTTACTTACGGCTCATCAAAGTCAAGTTAGTGATAGTAGTTGTGATTCATTTTTATCTTTTGCTTTTCTTTCCAATTTGTTCGTTTTAGTTTCCTCGGGACAACTAGCAGGCTTCTTTCCCTCAGCTTTGTTCTTGGTGCAAAAAAGGATTCATTTGATAGATCCAGCCCACGCCCATCTTCTTGTTCATGTAGCCTGTAATTGAGTCCCTTCATCGACGAAATAGATCGTAAGTTAGTCCCTTTTGACCTCTACAACCTGGTGCTAATGTACTACCTCTACAACCTGGTTCTAATGTACTTGCAGAACAAAAATTTGGTACAACAGGAGGAAGCTCCTCTCCTCGTGGAAGTATGTTGTATAAGCAGAATCAGATGGAACACGAGCGGGAGGAAGTTGAGAATATGCACCTGCCCCATTTGTCTCTCCGGCACGAAGATGCGCGTCGCGCTGTACTGCGCAAGCAACTTGGTGCTCTGGTAAATACTGGCTCAGCTATTGCCACGACGTTTCCTGCAATGCACAAAAGAGTGAGGGATTACGTGTATCACCGCTTGTACCTGGAGGATGCTTTGCGACGACCGCGCCTGAAAGCGTCTGTGACCGTGAACAGCACGAAGATTCCACCCAGTATTCTGTTCAAAGACGGAGTACAAACAGACGCTTTTTTGTCCGACCCACTGGACAGATGGAAAAATCTCGATCGACCACAAGTTTCGGTGCGCGTATTTGATATCAGAACGGGGAAAATGGTTTTGGAACGCAGAGGCCGCTCAGATGCGTCGATGAAGCAGTATCGCGTGAAAGCAGCCTACGAATTGCAGTCGCTTCCTAGGAAAATGAAGGATCGCCTGAACGAGCGCTCAGCGACGAAAAAGAGCTTCGCTACTAGCACCTACACGGGAGTCCGTGCATCGAGGGGCTATGGGGGTGGCGAACCTGCTTACATCGGCAGTGGGCCCGGTCATCATGAAGCCTACCTGTCAAAGGAAAAAAGAGAGCAACGCCGCTTGGAAAATATCGCTTACAGAAGAGAAACCGAAGAAAGGTTAAGGCGACTTAACTTCTCCTATAATTCATCTACTTACACGTATAGTCTATCTTGAAATAAGCGAGCAGTAGCTAATCGAATTAGAAGAGTCACTACGTTCTTGTAACATCATAGCTCGGCTATTCGTGTAAGAAGTAGTTACTTACTTGCTTATTTGAGTCGACTACGCCCGTCTACGGGGAGACGAAGTCGCGCCCATGTAATGTAATGCAATTTCAGTTTATCGAATACCTAAGAAGCATCCATCTTGGAACCGTTCTCTTCAAGAAGATCTTGATGAAAGCGTTTTCTACAACTTCTTCAGCTCTTCTAAAGAGGAACATCTTGGTCATCGGTTACGAGCCATTTTTGTCGGCGACGGCGCCTCCCGAAGTGTCCAAACTGAAAAATTTTCGCCGAGATATGCTGCTACCGTTGTACACCACCAATGTCTACGACAGAATCCGGAGACAACAAGCTCGTGCGGTTAAATTACTCGGAAATGCATATGTTAAGGCAGCTCGCCGTAAATATTCATCTTATTTAAGGAGGTCTTGCTGCATCTCTGGATTACACGATTTCAAGGGGAACACATGCCAAAGATGCGGTGTTAGATGAATATCGGTAAGATCTAAATACGACGGGATGGAACTTTTACCCCGTGAACTGTTGCATTCGCGTGCCGATGGCCGTAGCGATCTGCGAAAATTCGAATACAACTGGGATCTGAATGGTTCCCATATCGGTGCGGCTGAACCTACCCGACAGATGAATGCCGATCGCGTTTGGGCAGAGCAAAGATTGTCTATTAAGGCTTGAAGAGGCAGAGGAAATACATCTTCTGAATGACATCTTTGTCTTTGTGGTCTTCCTGTTTGTTCCTGCTTTGTCTTCCTGTTTGTGAAAAGTAGAACAGCAGGAGGGGTACTACGGAGATGCTCAGGAGCAGGATGCATTTCATCCGTGGCCAGGTCTACTCTAAGTCTGGGTACGACTCCACGCCCAACAGTAAGGACCCTCGAGTCCATTTTTTGAGACACGTAATGGCAAAGTTCCAAAAGAAGTCGAGGGCCGTACTCCAGCCCCCTTGGGATTTTGGGTATGAAGGTGGTTGTCCGCATTCCCGAACGGTCGGGATCATGCGAAACGGAACCAGCTCCTTTCCTCCCAGGATGACCCGAGCACCAACAGGTGTGGACCTAGTTGCGCACAACAGGACTGCTTCTGGAGCCATGTTCGGCGAGAAGCACAAGGTCCAATGGCTCGCGCGTTTGACGCGTTTCAGAGAAACAGTTAAGGCTCAGTACCATTATAATACTAATTTAGTATTAATCATATGAAAATAGTAATTAAAATTATTCATTTGGACGGACGAGTCATTCATAGTCAGCTACATTTCTCGCGTTTTCCTCCTTGAGATTTTCTTGGAGAAATGAAGGGACTATGAAGAAATGAAGCGCGTTGCGCTGTCTAACGCAGCGTCTGCTTTGGAGGTCGGCAGCCATCGTCTTTGGAAACGCTATCGCGTAGATGCGGACGCAAACCTGTTGAAAAAAAGGGAACAAGCCTTGCAGCACGTTCAAGCAGTGAATCGGAACATCATGCAAGAGTTGATGACTATCGCAGCGATGAAGGGGACATCAGCATCAGGATCAGGGACTCCGAAGAAAGAGATCAGCAATATTAAAGGAGGTCCTGGTGCTAAAAAGACTAGTATGAAAATGAAGAAAGGTCAACATCATGCTCATCCTATGGCTCAGTTGTATGGTCACGACGAAAACTCAGCTTATGTGGACACGATTTCGCATAGTTCTAGTGGCGAACACGATCGCAGCAGTGGTGTCGTCGATCACGGGCCTATGTCCTCGGTACCTTACAACGTGCTGGCTTCGACAACACCGGACTTTAATCTATCCTATACTGATGGTAAGTCCGCGTATGGCATTGCAGACAACAGTGGAGAAAGCAGTAGTTCTTCAGAAGATGACGATGACGACGACGATGGACAGCAAGAACAAAGGCCTCAAGGCGATGAATTGCCGCAGCAAGTTGTATTATCCCCGCTAAGTGGAGTGGAAAACTCATCTTTACCAGGCTCTCCTATCGGCGGGATGACTATGCACGACGAACTGAGCAGTGTCGCAGATTCCGATGACGAGAATCATGAAGAAGCTAATGAAGATCATGATATTGAGCAACATCTTGAAGCTGGTGAAGAAGATGAAGATACTGCTCAAAGAGGTTCTCATCATGTTACTTTTGAAGGCGAGGCTCCTAGTCCACCAATGGATATTCAACAAGGCACAGAGATGTCAATGACATCAGACAATCTGCGTCTGCAACGCCAAAGCCGACTGCTTACAGCAGCTGCGCAACGTGGCACTGCTTCTCAAAGAAGATATACAACGGATAACCGCCTTTCATCTAAGATGAATGCGAGACAGCGCCGCTTAGGAGAGAGCATGCTGCATTTCGAAGGGCTTGACGAAGTGATGCAAGATATCCAATTGCACTTTTTGGGAATGGACGCGAAAGGCATAGCCCGTGGCTTCGTACGCCGCAACGCGGTCGAGCGTAAAACGTTTACGGGGTTTAGAAATCAGGCGCAAGTTCAGGAATTGTCGGACAGGGAGGCGGCATTTCAGCATGACAATCCCCTAGGCGGATATAGACGTCGTCCACGTGGTCAAGGAACGTCTACGGGGTCGAATTCGAATAAGAACAACAACTTCGACGCTTCTCCTGGTTCATCTGAAGGAAATTATATCAGTAGTGGTCTGTATCAACCAGACGAAGATGTAGATGCACCAAATTATAATGGAGGAGGTGCCAACAACATCCATGTGACTGGGAAAAATGATCGACGCATTCCTAGTCATTCTAGTGTAGGCAAGAAGAGTACAGCTTCCAACAAGAAGAGTGCGATGTCTCAAATGGGTTCGCTCTTTTCCTATCCGTCTGCTTACTACGGCGACCATGATCTTCTCGCTGGACAGAGTGGCGTCTCTACTGCTACTGTACTCCCTAGAAGTTCTGTCGCTGCTTCAGATTTGGGTTCTGTGGGTCGTGGGTCGACGACACACTTGGAACCTACTGGCAGTGGAAAGAAGAAGCGCAAGATGGATGGCGGAACTACAACTGGAACTACATCAATTGTTTCTCCTACTCTCTCTCCGGCACAATCTCCCCGGCAGGAAAATTTTGAAGACCCTGAGAGATGTCCCAGAACGATTCGCGGTCCATATGCAAAGCGCAAGAAAAACACCATGATGAATGCCCCTAGTGTTTTCTTAACGCCAGAACAGCGCAGAGGGGCTCTCGCTGATACTCTGCACTACATCCGGGACCGTAATACTGCTCTCGCCGTTTGCCAAAATGAAATCTTCAGACTGAAGACTTATGCTGCGGACACGGGATCGCAGATGCATGAGGGCTTGATTGGCATGCTCAGCGCAGTCAACGAGATCCACTACAATGGTGGAGGGTTAGAAGGCCTCTTTACCGAATTCAACCGATGCAATCATCTTGCTACAGACATCGTGGATGGGCCTGGCATTTATCCACGACCAGACTCGAAAATGCGCAACACCGATTTATCCCCAGCGGTGAACGATTTTTCGGAACGTGTCTCCACTGATGTGCTGTGTTCTCCCTGGATCAATTAAGGCTTGCCCTAATCCATCTTCTGAAGCATCCTGAAGCTGAGCAAGAGGCTTTTTCTTTCCAGGAGAAAAAGAGAACAGTAATATATTATGCGTCTCTAGAATAAAGATGGATTAGGATGTTGTTGCGGTCTAAATCAATACTACTACTGGTGTCCACGTCCACGATATGGGACCCGGAGAACGTGTACATCAAAGCGGAAACATGTTGGGAGGAGCAGGGCTTCCAAAACGAGGAACTTTCAGATTCTACGAGGAGCAACAAATAAGTGGATCATCTTACCTACAACAAGCTGCACTTCATCAAAACCAAATCATGATGAGTCAACAAAGTAGAACAAATCAAAATCTTCGTCCGGGGGGTCCACCTCGTGAAGACCGTCACTTTAATATTCATGCTGAAGGTGAAGCTGCTCATTCATTATCATACAATGGAGGCTATGGCTACAACAAGAACAACTACTCAACATCGGCTAGTCCTCTGCAGCCATCAAACACTTTTGATGGTCCTCTTCAAGGTCAACAAGTATCTGTTGTATCTCCAGGATCAAGCAAGACTTCTAGCAACACTTCCTCAATGTTGAACACGAATTATGCCGCTTATGGTGCCTCTTCCAGGCCACCTACGAATGGGACGCGTCGTACCACAACGTTTGAGCATATTGAGCATACACATCGAGGTGACACTGTGAATCCCAATTTTTTGGACAAAGTCACCTGGTATGAGGATTTAGCTATGGCTCTAGACGAAGCCGCTCTGTACGAGTGCGTCTTGATGCTCACGAACAGCGACAATGTCGAAAGGGATGTGAATCTATTGTCGAAGTACGTCTACGGGGAAGCGGACAAAGTGCGAGTGGCGAATGAGAAACGCGATTATATGGAAGCCTGTCGACACGTACGCAGCTACGAGCATGAAAACGACGTGATGCGCGCTCGTCGTATGTCCTATATGATGAGAAAATCCGCTCTCATCGGAATCACCCCACAGCACAGTGTCCAAGCCACCAATGCGGAGCCGGATCATTACACCAGTTACTACACACCGGCAGGCGCGAAGCCGGACAGAATTCACATAGTGAGGAACGGCGCGACAACAGCACAACTGAGTAGGAAATCCAAACACATGGATATGTTGAACAATATTCAAATGAACGCAGCCGGTGCAGCTCAACAGGAGAGAGCTCCAACGATCACATTTGGTGGTGTAGAATTTGCCTCAGAGCAGGACAATATTAAAGGACCTGCTGCTGGGGTGCTCCCTGCACCTCAAGAAAGCTTTTTCGGATTAGGACCGAAAGACGAGCTACAGCAGAGTGGGCAACAGGTTGTAGACGAGGCAACGTTGCTTTTGTCTGTAAACCCCAACGGGAGCGCAAGTGGAGGTGGACAAAGAAGTATGCTGCTTTCTAAAAACCCCATGCAGGCTTCAACGACTGAAGAAACGTCTTCGATGATGCCCAATGCTAAAAATAACTCCACCTCCTCGATGTTGAACAAGTCATCTCAGTCTGCTGGAAGTGTAAAAAATGTTGCTGCGAGCAGTCGTGCTGGTAGCAAGAAAAACTCTTCTTCGAATTCCATGGTTCTGGCCGGATCTGGATCCTCGGTCGGAGGACAGACTCAGACTCAGTCTCAGTCTCAGCCTCAGCCTCAGTCTCAGTCTCAGTCTCAGTCTCAGTCTCAGTCTCAGTCTCAGTCTCAGTCTCAGTCTCAGTCTCAGACTCAATTAGAGACGTCGACTCCTACTGGCGAGGAGGTGCCTACTGGCGAGGAGGATGCACCAGTTGTACAGTCAGAAGACCCTAAAGAAGGAGCTGGAGTGGTTGAAGAAGCGGAGGACGCGAACTCTCCAGACGCTGACGCGGCTGCAGATGGGACAGAGGCAAGGACCTCAGCAGCGTCCCCCTCAGCTGCAGAAGCATCATCTTCGCAGCAACTCCCTGAAGCTGAAGGTGAGGAGTCCTCAAAAAACGACGACGCGGGAGAGGAGGAGCGTGCGTATAAAAGTTCCTTCTATGACGACGAAACAATGGGAGAGTTTGGCGAAGGGGAAGATGCGGGAATCCACAAGGTCGTAGCTTCGTCGGAAATTGGTAGTATCAAGCAAAGGCTCCTACGTGCGGAAGGGTCGACTATGTCGGTGTCCTCTAGTACACGACTGACACGACTGTCTACTCCGTCAAATACAAACGCGAATGGGAATGCAGGTGTCTCGTCTGCGAGCAGTGGTGTAATAGATAAAAATGTGCTTACTCAAATGATACGCGAAGCAACTACAGGTCAATCTCAAGCTCAAACAAGTCAAAAGCAAGAACAACAGCTCAATCTTGAGGCTGGCGATGTGCCCAACTTCTCAGTGGGGGGCGAGGGAGAGGATGCACTGGCGAAATTCTTAGAAAATGATATTTTTTCAAGGACAGGCAGCACCAGATTCACCAGATTATCCCCTCCTGCAGCTGCAGGTAAAAAAAACACCGTAGAAGGTTCTTCCGCTGGAGGAGGCGCGTCGTCCGGCGCTTATTCCTCGCAAATGACATCCAGTACTTCATCGCCAAATAAGAACAACATCTTCAATAGCAATACATCCAAGATTTCGTCCTCCTCATCAAAAAGTAGTAGGAAATCTTCGTGGTCAAGCCTGCCTGTCGCGTATGCAGTTCCTACTGATCGGATCACGACTTTGATTTCCGAATTGTCGCAGTTTTTAGTGCATGTTCGTCGCGAGTTGGTCCTGAAAAAAGGAACAGGACTGACGCTGACGAAAAAAACTGGTGCTCCGATTACTCCTGGAGGTAAACAAGGAGCAAATAAAAGCGATAAAAATGAGCCGTTTGCGGCTCACAATTTTCCGATCGATCCTTCCTTGCTCGTGGTAGGATCCAGGAGAGATGTGCGTAGTCATAAAGCTTCCTCGACCGCATACGCACGACCAATTCCCGGCACCCTGATTCGACCCTTGCTACCAGTCCTGGGCGTCGATGTGGACGTCGCCTTGGTCCAGCGAGTCGTTAAATCCGGAGAGTTGGAGCCTCCACACGCACCGATTGCTCGTGAACGTCTTAAAAAAGACATCGTGCAGGAGAAAAAGCGACTTCAACGAGAAAAAGAGAAGGCTGCTGCGAAAAAAGAAGAACTGCGCAAAGAACAAGAGATCAAAGCAAACTTGGCAAAGTTTCGCGCTAGTGTTCCCAGCTTGGAAAAGCTGGAGTCCGATTATCAAAAATCACAAGAAAAGGTGATCGCGAAGATGCAGGAAAAGATACCTGGCTGGACTCCGGACTACAGGTCTGCAAGTTTGGTAGCGAGAGAAGACGGCAGAATGGCATTGAATCCTAGATGGAATCCGTATAGGCGCTCCATGCTCTGGGTAAAGGAACATAGAGCCCAACTAGCTAAGCTGGCTGAGGAGGATGCTGTTAGAGCAGCAGAAGAAGGCAAGAACGTGAATATGCAACAGCAGGACCGGAAAGCTAGTAAGCAAAAACGGAAGGAACAAGGAGAACGAGCAGAAGGACAGCAAAAAGGAATCTCATCACAAGGAGCTGCTTCTTCTATCTCTCCCAAATCAAATGTAATTTCTAGCAGCTCGTCCTCGCTAGAAGTTGGAGGCGGATCTCTCTCTCAAACTAACAAGATCGAAGAAGCTGAAAGACTTACGAGTACTCTTCCTCCAAAGAGTAGGAGTACTGCTTCATCTAGTAATCTAAAGAGTCAAGGCCATTCACGGGAAGATTCTGCGAGTCGGGTTCATTTTGACGAGGAGAAAAATGAGGTCCATAACTTGGAGATGATTAAGGCTTGCAGCATTAATATTTTCATCTTGTTAATAAGAGTAAGTAAGTAGACCAAGCATCTTTCTTTGACCTCCCGTTTATTTACTCATCTATAAGGGGCGGATGAAAACAAGGCCACGCGAAAGATGCTGTATAATTTCAAGATGAATTTTTAAGAGAGGCAAGGTCTAAGGTAGTTAGCAAAAATAAGAAGTCCTCGTCGAACACCAGACGGTCCTCTAGCAACAAAAAGAGCAAGAACAAGACGAGCACGTCGTCCTCTGTTGAAGGGAACGACGAGGAGGCTTCTGAAGGCAACGACGACCGAGAACATGCTTCTGGCGCTTCTACAGAATCTTCATCGTCACAAGGATCATTTCGTGCTTCTTCTCTTAGAAGAAGCGATAATAGTTCGGCTCCTGCTAGTACTGCAGAAGGTGAAGGCGAATTACAACGACCCACTAATGCTTCTGGTGTTTCAATTGTTGATGCTGAAACTGAAAGGGACACCTTAGACTTAGTAGCTAGGACGACTCCACCGATAATAGGAGCAGTAGAGGATGAGGAACAAGAGTTGTCAGATGAAGAGGAAGTGAAGCCGGAAACCGACAAGGAATTAACGATTAATACCAAGAAAACTTCCATGGGAAGTAGACCGGAGCCGGAAGCGTCAGCGTCACGATTAGACAGCCTTAAGGGTAGTTTCCGAATTACATTCCGCACTATCATCCTTGGCCTTTTGATTTCAAGTAGAAAACTTAGGCGAAAGGAGACGTTCTAAGGAATGTAATCCCGTAAAAACCTCTTCTAACAGTCGCTCTAGGTCACTATCCTCTGGCTCTGGTACTAGAGCAAATCGAGTCGATCCGCCTTCATTCCACGTGCGAGCGAGCCAAAGTAGGCAAAAAGTTGTGGAAGCAACCTCCTTGCGTGCTCGTGCATCTGCACATGTGCGAGAGAAGTCACAAGAGAAAGATAGAGAACAAGATCAAGTTGTAGATCATGTGAATTTTCAAGATACTACAGGAACAACTGGAGCTAGACCTAGGCAAATAACAGCAACAATGAGCGGTGGTGGTGGACAAGAACCTTCTCAGAAGGATCAAGCCCAAGAGGAGCAGCAGGCTGATGAAGATGCTGCTGATGACGTCGAACATCAAGAAAAGCAAGAAGAAGAGCAAGAGAACGTCGAAGAAGCAGATTTATTAGTTTTAGAGAATGACAAGAGCAAGAGAATGTTCGCTTCCGAAGATGAAGCTCATTTTTTAGTTTTAGAGACCACTGGTTCTTCTAGTACTAAAACTCTTGCTCGAAGTAGAGGACCAGCACTGGCGGAGGAAGAAGCCCAAAAATCGTCACAAGCTGACCTACAATTGGATGTCCACAAGGACGAAGATGAGCCTGCAGTAGCTCTGGTTCCTCGTGTAGATCACTTGCTAGAGGAAGCGGACGCCCTAGAAGAGAAACTTGTCCGTCGTTTAGAGGAAGAAGTTCTTGAGGCTGAGGATGATGAAAAATCGGACGATTCATCCTCGTCCTCTTCGTCGTCTTCTTCAGATGAGGATGGACCAGATGAATCTTCTTCATCTTCTTCCTCAGCAGGTGAAGGAGATAAAAACACAACTAGAACTTCTTCTAGATCTAGGAGGAAGAGAAAGGAACGACTACAGCGCCAACGTAAAGCTGCCGCAAGGCCGGAACAAGAAAGTGCTGGTGCAGCTGACGTTCTTGGAAAGGATGCTGATGTTCAACAAGGTGAATCGTCTGCATCTTCGCTTGAAGATGATGCGGACGCAGCAGCGTGGTCAGCTGCTCTGAGTCGTCAAAAAAGGGCGTCGCTCCAACTCCTAGCGGACGTAAACGACCTGCTTGAAGAACGAGCTGTTCAAAGGAAGAGTATGACGATGACGAAACCAGAGTATGACGATGCTGAAGATCGTATTGATGCTGAAGATCGTACTATATTGACGTCATCTAGAGCAGATGTTGACGAGGGCCTCCAGCAGCAGCATGATAGTACACCAGGAGTGGACAACTACAAGAGCAGGACATCTAGGCCTTCAATATCCTCAAAAGTAGCGTCTCCTGTAGTAGCAGACACAGGCGTTGTTCAAGAAGAATCTAAACGATCCTCGGTGACTTCAACCGCTTCTCCTTCCACTAGCACAAAGACCAGGCGCTCGCTCGAAATCCTCTCGGCTCTTCCGACTAAGCCTAGAAAGAGCAGCGCTGGTGCGGCGACTGCAAAAAGGTCCTCAACCACAACGACGAGTAATATGGCCATGGCTGCACAAGCACGCAAAAGCGCAACAAGAGAGCAACAGGAAGTTGTTGTTGAGGATGTTGAAAGTCCTTTTCTTAACGCAGTTGATGAAATCAATGCAGCACTAGAGCGACACGCAGGTGAAGAAGGCTACAACTACTCTTCTACCCAAGCTCCTCTTCTTGCCGAAAAGAGTCCTAGACCCAGCAGAAGTGTGGAACTACAACGTGGTCGTGCAGGTGGGAGTTTTAACCTTCTTGGCGCGCCTCCTTCAATCCCAGGGACGAGCAGTAGTGACGATATTGCTTCTTCGCCTGCGAGACAAGAAGAAGCAGAGCATCAGCGTCACCTACAGAGAATGGTACGAAGCAGAGCGGAACTCGACAGAAAGATCGAAGAAGCCAGGGCAATTGCTATTGGCCGTACTCCTACTTCGTCTAATCCTAGAGTCAGAACTTCTCGAGGACTTGCCAACGGAGTAGAAGATTCCAGCCGCAGCTTCATCGTTGAGCAAGTAGATCTTCCACCGATGACGAAGCGTGAGTCTCGGTTGTCAACAGCTTCAGCGATTGCGATTCTTGCGCCACATCACGAGGCAACATCAACTCCGGCAAGAAGTCCTCCAAGAGCCTCTACGAGTGCCTCTCCTAAACAGCAACTCCCTGCAAGCAGAGCCTCTACATCTACTTCTCCTAAGCAACAACAACAAGTTCTTGCGCAAAGTAGTGGTAAAAGCAGTAGGCCCTCCACTTTCACTAAGGCAAGATCCTCTCCAGGTGCCTCCACTTTCACTAAGAAACTTTCTGACGACAAGGTGAATCTTGCTACGAAAAATACTACGCTCAGCAGTAGTAGTAGAGCAGACCACGTGAATCTTGCTACGAAAAATACTACGCTCAGCAGTAGTAGTAGAGCAGACCACGCTAGTACACCTACCATCAAGTCAAAACCTGCTCCACGACAAAGTGTTGCTGTTCTTGCCAACAAGCGGTCCACTGCTGCGAGTCGAGCTGCACACGAATCCTCTAGTACGTCGCGGTCGCCCTCTAGAGATATCACTCCACCAGCTTCTAGGATGAAGAGCAGAACTACAACCGCACCAGCTCCGTCCTCTAGAATGACGACTAGGAGTACGACTACAACTACAACTGGCGTAACTTCTTCTGCTGCAAATAAACAAGGCTCAAGAACTACATCAGTTGGGACATCAGCTGGACCTACAGGATCCCCGCCCACTCGTTCCACAACGACTCGCCCCATTGAGGTACATAGGTTCAACACGAGTACTTCTAATAGTACTTTTACTAGTAATAGAGCCACGACGACGAGCGCGGCCGCGGTTGGAGGAGGGAACAAGAGCAATAAAGTAAATAAATCTTCATCCCCTACAACATCAACAAGCCCTACTAGTCGTGCAACAGCACGTTCATCCCCTACAACAAGCCCTAGTCGTGCAACACGTGTGACCCGATCAACGACGCCACAAGAACGTCGTACAGCGGCTGCCAATTCGCGAACTTCTACAGCAGCTTCAGGTCCAACTAGTAAGAAAAAACTTCCTAACCACGTTCCGCATCGTCCTGTGCGAGTGAGGGATGGGGGAAGCGCATCTTCAACTACCTCCAAATATATCGCTGAGCAAGATGAAGACTACATGCGCGATCATGTTGAACAAGAAGATGAAGCAGTCGATGAGAAGGTGTTCGATGAAGCACTAGTCGATGACGAGGCTGAGGATATCATCAAAGAGCCTGAAGAAGTAGTAGAAGTTCTTGCACATCAGGCTGCAGATGTACTAGAAGAAGAAGCTGCAGCACCTGATGTAGATGAAGATGAAAATGTTGAAAATGCTGTTGAAAAGGAGAAGCCTCCTCGACGCCTTTCTCAAAGTGAAACAACACCTACATCAGCATCAAATGCTACTCGTACTATTGCTCTCGGTAATAGTGCTGGACCTGAGGGTGAAGCGCCTGGCTTCGGAGTACCGCCTGTTGCATCTAGAGATGACTCTTCAGCCTCTTGGTCTGATGATTCTGAAGACGAGCACGAGGCTGCTGAAGATGGTCGCGACGAAAGTCAAAAGAAACAAGATCTTCATCACGGAGAGCTGGCTGACCGTCCTGCTGCACCAGCCTCTTGGTCTGATGATTCTGAAGACGAGCACGAGGCTGCTGACGATCATGGTCGTGACGAAAGTCAAAAGAAACAAGATCTTCATCACGGAGAGCTGGCTGACCGTCCTGCTGCTGTTGATGAAGACCTCCTTCAGGCTAAGGAGAGTAAGAACACCAAGGTTAAGAACACCAAGGTGGGTCGTGAGTGGTCTACTGAGCCATCGTCTTCCTCAAGAAGAAGAGCACCTACAACAACGTCAACATCTGCAGTTAAAAGTGGCCCTCCTTCTGAGTCAGCAGCTTCTCCAGCTTCTCCTGCTTCCTCGAATAGAAAGCGCAATAGCATTTTTACCAAGAATGCAGGTCTTTCGCCATCTCCTGTTCTCCTGGAGTTGTCTCCATCTAGTCCAGGAGCCCCACTAGTAGAACAAAACGACCAACAGCAAGAAGTAGAACAAAAAGAACATCTTCAAAACGACCAACAGCAAGTAGAACAAAACGAGGACCGTCCACGTGGACGCGGAAGCAATAATGCAACAGTCGTCGTCAGATCTGTTGGCCCGATTGTAGAAGTGAAAGCAACACTCGGAGAAGATGGCGATGAAGATGACGCTCCGGAACAAGGACCTTCTTCACAAAACTCAAGAGAGCAAGACGATATGGAGGATGTGGACGATGACGCGCCGCCACGAGGACGCTGCGCTTCTGATAATACCATTCGGCTTGCCCCAGAGGACGAGGAAGAACATTTCAAAGAGTGAACGTCGAACGGTAGGAACATACTCGCATAATAATGTTGGTACAACTGGACATACTGATAATAATATGTACATCGAGCGGTAGGAATACAGCAAAATGTTGGTACATGACCTACTGATATGAACATCGAACGGTAGGAATACAGCAAAATGTTGGTACATGACCTACTGATATGAACATCGAACGGTAAGAGCACAGAATAATGGTACATGACATGAACTGATAAAGAATATCTATCTGTACCTTCGGTCAATCATGATTGTCTTTGCCATTGAAAATTCGTTTGTTTTTTAGTTGGGTAACCGCAATTGCAAGAGCGGCTAATATTACTACACCACGAGAATCAAGAACGTGTTGATTATTCTCTCAAAACGCATTGTACACATTCATAATTCTTGCGATTGGCACGGGGAACAATTAAATGGCACTTGATGTAGTTACATTAATTTGAATACTGACACTGTATAGCAACTATATGACCTCAAACATTATAACATGGTTAGCAGATGACTGATAAAACTGAAATACATGAACAATATAAAAGCATCTAGATTCGCGCGAACTGTTTACGACCGAATAAGACACAAAATGATATTAGGACCAGAAAAACTAAGACCACCAGATTAGACTGGAGGCCAAATTATTTGCTCCTCCATGATTATAATTATTTAGTCCTCATGATGTATCCAAATTTTCATTCTACCGCGCATCAACATAGACTAACACGACTAATACGTTGAAGAATAATGTTGAGCAGGCTATCGAAAATCGAAGACTAACAAGACTATGACTTATAATCTGAACACGAATAATCTACACACATTTGCAAGTCACAAAATATAGGCAAAATAACAAAATATTCGCATTTCATATATACTTGGCGGGATTGATGTATGTAAAGATGATGAGTGAATGTCAACAAGACTCTTTGCAAAGATTTCACCGTTTAGATAGAAGTGTTCCACCACATCCTAAGAATTGAATGCAACCAAGTTCTTAACACACTTCCGCCGAGAACGCGATGAGCTTAAGGAGAGGCGCGAAGAATGATTGAGCGAAAAGTGAGTGGAAAAGAGCGAACACCATTCCGTGTCAGGAGTTCTCAGCCTGTCACCCCAGAGGGTTTTCACCTCCTAAAAAAGCTGCAGCTGCAAAAAACGGCTTGTTGCAGTACTTTGAGCTTCAAAACAAAAGTTCTAAAATGATATCGCAAAGATCTCCGGTCGTCCTTGATGATGAAAGTGCGAGAAAATAGAAACATGGTGCCAGAAGCTTCACACTCTACCGTCGCTGGCAATAGTCAGTCGACGTCGTCGAATGCCTTTGGAGAAGGTTGGTCAACGACAGCGCAAACACGGCCTCCACGTGCAACGACAACAGCAAACTTTCGAACGAAGAACAACAACTTTCGAAATCATAACGGTTTGGAGAACTACTCTGAGATCAACTCTCGCAATGGTTTGGATCTTCTCGCTGCCCCATCAAGGAGAGACCATCCCATAGGAGTTGGACTGCTATTGTCGACGAGCTGTGACAAGGATGTTCGATTCAGAACGTTGCGGAAGGGTCGTTCGAAAATTAAGACAGCAGCTGGATCAACACTAACACGTTGATGTTTCTTGTTCTGAAATGGTAAAGAAAGTTACAGCAAAGAGGTTACACTGCCTGGAAAAGGTAGTGAGAAACCAGTAGAAGTTGTATTTCCAATGAAGTACTTCTATATTTATCTATAAGTCTAAATACAGATGAAGTTGAGGTAGTTAGGGGGATTGGGATAGCTCTAACAAAAACCAAAACCTGTCATCTGGAGCACCAGAGACTGAAGAGAGAGAACCTGCTGTTGTTGATGACGGAGATGGAGGTGCAACTAGTACTGCCGTTCTTGTCCCAGCATCTTCAACGGTTGCGGGTGCAGGTGCTTCTGCGACCTCTACTGGCCTGTCCAAATTTGCCCAAAAGTTGGGCCACGCGAGTTACTACAATGACAAGGCAGCGCATCTTCAACGGTTCAAGCAGGAGCAACTACGTAAGCAGCATAGACCTGTGCGAGACGATGCCTTACTTGTCGACGCTGAGGGAGACGCAGATCGGCCTGTTGTAGTACGCGACAATGTTGAAGATGAAAGCGCTGCTGCAGTTAAGAGTACCACAACAACTCCAGGACGAACGAGTGCGGAGACCAAACCACATCGCCCGCCAACATCTTCAGCTTCACCACAGGGTGATCCGGAACAAGACGCTGCATCCTCACCAAGCAATGTGAATGTTGTCCTCCCAAAAAATATTTGTATTTCATCATCTTCTACTAGTAAAACAAAAACCAATGGTGCTCCCCAACATCTTATTCAACACCACGTCCAAGAGGACCACAACGAACGCCATCAACTACTCCAAGGTGGAAGACGCAAAGCCACACGTCTCCGACAAGACGCTCTCAAGAGTGAGTTCAAAATGCTGCTGCAGTTGGGCTATCAGACACAGTTGTTTGAGTCCCAGAACGTGATTCAAGTATCTAAGAACAAGGCACGTGCCTTTTTCCAGACATTAAAGGCACTTGGACATCCATCCGTTCCTCTGTATACTCTAGATGGAAAACAAGTGCGAGACGAGGTCGTCACAGTGGTGAGTGATCTGTCGATATACCAAGAAAAATTCAAGACAATGCAAACACGGATGGCAGACAAGCTGTCTTCTGCTCGAGCGGCTTCGGCTAAAGGGACGAAGCTTAAGGATGGTTTTTCATTATCTCGTTCTCGTCTAGCGTATCCTGAGTGATGATTTGCTTCTAATCCCAAGATCAGGACAAAAAAGCACAAGCAGTAGTTGTCAAACGAGCATTCCATGCCGTGATTTACTTAAGAATCTCAGATATATCCTTAAGAATTAACGATGATCATGATATTACATATTATTAGACTACCACCTCTAAACGAGCATTTTTCCATGCCGTGATTTACTTAAGAATCTCAGATGTATACTTACTGTTTCTGTTACTTAAGAATTAACGATGAAGATCATCATCATGATATTACTATTAGACAACCACCTCTAAAAATAACAGAAGAAACGCGTCTCAGCCGGGGTCTCCGTCACCTCAAACTCAAAGCAGAAGTCCTGCGAACGCTAAGAGGAGTTCTTCCACCAGTCACGCTGTCGCTGGTGCCGCATCCTTTCCCTCACGTGTGAACGTTGCAGGTATTAGGGGACAACTTTTTTAATTATCATAATGTGGCTCCACCCGTATTATCATAATGTGGTTCAGCAAGTCCAAGTTCAAGATCATCAAAGCATCTCATGTATCAATTCCTGATCTTGGGTTCTTGAGTAGGGAATGCACTCAAGAAGAATTGCTTTGGTGGATTTAAGTCGGAATCTTCATGTTCTTGAGACTCTTTGCTTAACTATTTACAAAATTCCAACCTGAAGTGCAAGTGGATGATTCATTCACCAAACAATCTGATAGACCCCATGAACGTCGTACCACAACTTCTATTCTCTTATCTTATCATCCACCAGGTAATTCTGCTGTTGTTCGCAAACTTTTTCTAGGCGGATCATCATCATCGTCTCGAAGTCGAAACGGTGGAGCTAAAGCAGCAGCTAAAGAGTCAAGAAATTCCGATCAAAATCTTCCGGTAGATGCGCGTCGCACAGACCAAGGAGGACCTCCGGAAGTACCTGAAGCACCTGAAGGGCAAGGTGTACAACCTCGAAGCACTAGTACCGGAGCTTCTGGGAGTGAGGGTGATAAAAAAGACGCGCAGTCTTCTAAAGAACAGGGCCATGGAGAAAGGGACGAGAAACGCAGCACAAGCAGAGAAGACGATCACGGACAGGCTGGAGAAAAAGAAAATGTGAAGAATAAAACTGTAGTTAAGGTCAGCTCTTATCCATCTTTCAGTTTCACTTTCTCAGCATCTCGAGGACCCGCCCTTTCCCACGAAATATTTCGTGGGAACAAGAAAGGGGTCCACCTCGAGATGAGGGCGGGGCCGCGATGGATATAACAAGCTGCCTCTAAAAATGTAGTCGTTGTTTCGCCTCCTATGAAGAACGCTTTTGACCTACATCGGAAAACGCAAGAGCATGTTTCCATTTCTCGCGCCAAATTTCAGGATATTTTGAAGACATCTACTTCTGGAGCTTGTGGAGTTGGAGAGGGAAGAAAAAATAAGACTCGTGCTACTGCTAGAAGTTCTTCTAGCTCATCGTCTAGTAGAAAAACCACAACAAATGCGACCTCCAAGCCCAAGGTCAAGAAAGACAGGAGGACTGTTTTACCACGCCTAGACGAGGACCATCCCCAACAGGACGAACACTCGTCGATGTCTTCACCGAGGACTACAACTACGAGACACCGTACTAAATCAACTTCAGCCAAAGGAGTTGTTTCATCTCCATCGACGACAAGATTGACAGCTGTAGTTGTAGGTCGTGAAGATGTAGCGTCTTCATATACAACAGCGCCAAGGTGGAATATTAGGATGAAACCTCCTACATCAACAAGAACTAAGAAAGATATAAGTAGAGCACCAGCAGGAGCAGGACCTCGTGTAACAAGATCTTCTAGAGGACCCACTCAGCAGCAGCACTCATCTTCAACAGGTCTTCTTTTTGGTCGCAATCTTTCACCAAAGTCGTATCTTTCACCAAAGTCTTCTACTACGTGGTCAGCTCCTCCATCGCCAAGCGTAACGCACCAGATGGTTTTTGAAGGTCGTAGACTAGCTAGAGACTTATCGCCTGCATCCAAGGACCAGCATCATAATTTGACTTCAACCTCCAGTGGAAGTGGGTTTCTCCAACAGGGAAGCAGACAGCCGAAGAATATGACAATCTTCTCTTGTTCTCCACAAAAACCGGATACCGGGACCTGGAAGATGAGTTGTCCTAAAAATAATGTTGCGAGTTGTAGAAGTAGGCTTCTTCAACAGCAGTCTGACTCGGAAGTGTCACCTCCAGAGCAAGAACGTGCAGCTCTAGTTGGCGCATCTTCTTCGACTACACTACTTGCGGGTGCTCCTGCTGTACTAGTAGGAACATCAGCGTCCCCAGGTAATCCCGAAGCAGTAGACGAAAATACTGGTCGTGGACGAGGTGCTCCTGCAAGTAGAAATGGCGTCGAGTCAATCGGTGGCGCTGGACCTCCACATCAACAAGATGTTGGCGGAACTGAGTCATCTCAACAAAGTCATACTCAACGATCATTAGTCTGCAGCACAAAGCAGCGTCGTGGTCGTACCCTGCTTGAGGTGCAAGGGGAGGACAGTTGGTACGACCGCGCGATCTCAAAGCCTGTTAGACCAAGGCGTAGCAAGGAGGAAGCGACTGCATTTTTCGAAGCTCTGGTGGCAAGAGGACAAGAAACCGAGAAAAAAGTCAACAAAAAACGAGAAGAAATGACGATGGCTATGGCAATGCAGAGACGAGAGAGAAGCCCGCCATCGCCAAGTCCTGGTGCCTTGGGGTCGAGGTCAGATATCAAATGCAAAAACATAAACAACGCAGCCGAGCACACGACAAAGGGCCAAGAAGCTGCTTCATCTACTAAGATCAAAAAGGGAAGTGGTGCGACCGAAACAAGAACGCCGGGAAAGACCGTGAAGAAGAATGATACTTGTTCTCATACTGCTTCCGAAGAACCATCACAGAACTCTAACGGGCCATCAACACGACCACGAGTGGAAAATGTGGAGACAGGAGGTGCAGTCCCAGTCGGAAACACTGAAGATGTGCCAGAGTTGCATCAAGGAGGTTTAGGATCGAGGGACGCCACTAGGAGTAGAAGTAGCGAGGAAAGCGTCGTCATTTTGCATTGCAAAGAAAAAGCAGTTATAGAGGACCTTGTTCAACAGCATGGAGGTAAAAATTATGTAGATGAAGAAGTTCTTGTTGAAGAAAGGACATCATCTGCAGATGAAGATTTATTTGTTGATGAGTCTTCACATGACATAAAGAGCTACAGGAGTAGTACTAGTCCTCGTGAACAACTAGTTGTAGATCAGGAGCGGCAGCAACAAGGACAAGCACAATTTCCCTCAACCTCCTCAACTGCTGGTACAAAAAACACAATGTTGGAGACCACAGCCGGTGCTAGTACGAGACCCCGACCGAAGAGAACGCGGACCTCCGCATCTAGTTTTGCGTCCTCTTCTAGTTATTCTTCGTCTTCCTCATCAAAGCACAGAAAAAAGAAAATCGTGGAGGTGAAGAACGGCAACAAGAACTACAAGGATACAGTTCCTACTCGCCCGTTCAATGACCAAGACGATGAGCTGGCTAATGCCGTGAGTGCTATAGAATCTTCTGATCATCGTCCATCATCGAGTACTCCAAGAGGACAAAGTCGTAATGACTTTGCACCGGAGGAACAAGCTGTACTCGACTCGATAGATGAGGCTTTTCGAGTAATGGCTGAAAGAAGTAAAGGATTAGCGGCTGACCATGGCGGGGTATCTACTAGCTCGTCTGCGAGTGCAATGCATGAAGTGAAGAAGAGAACAAGTACTACAGACTTGGAAGCTGAATACATTCGACGCAGTAGTGTGCTTTCGAGATGATTGGAAATGGTCGCGCCGATGCCAATATCCGTAAAATGTACATGAAGATGCACATGCAAAAAATTGTTCATAGAAGTGCGATTTTGGTTCTTCACAAGTAGGCTGTAGTTTAGAAATGACTAAAGGGTTTTAAAGCAACCTTATCATGATAGTCATATCGTTATAGTCGTCCGAAATTTAAATAGAGAAGTATAGCTTCATTTTCTTCGCCATATCACGCTTATGCTATAGCGACAGTGATCAAAAAAAAATTAGAAGTGAAAGAAGTGAAACAAAGTAGGAAGTGCTTCTTCTAGTATATATAAGTATACGTGACTAAATTGTATCAAGATGACCAGGAGAAGAGCGATTGTTATTAATGTACAGGCAACATGCATAGAAGGGCTAAAATGTGCTTTTCTGCTCCACCCAAGTGATGTGCTTGCATACTTACTTTTTTTGCACCCTTTCTATTTGCGTGTCCTCACCATGCTATATCTTGTTGATACTCGATGCAACAGAGTAAGTAAAAGAACTAAAAGAATCTTCATGTAGTTGCTAAAAAAAATGTCAACATGATCAATGAACGACCCCTCTAGCATTTTCATCAATCTTCAAAAATTTTAATTTCGTCAGTGCAAATATGATCTAGCAGATGAAATATCACTGAAAGAACTTTCGCTTCTTGCAGATCTTCATCTTCATCATGCGTTCCTAGAGCCGTTGTGCTTACCACATCAATGTTGTGCTGTTCATTGATGTTGTGGAACAAGCGAGACTCTACAACTTTTCATGATTTGTCAGTGCTGCATAAAAGAAGACCTAGATTCCAGTCCACGGGAAGCCTAAATACCGCAACATTGCACATGAAGCCTACCGTGCTTGTGTGGTACGAACTTGGAAGCAAGTCGTGGCTACAGCGAGCTTGCGTTGCTGGAACAAGCGAGGTCGTTGCCAGAAGGACTCGAATATCCTTGCACAGCATGCAAGTACTTCTTGTTGCCGCAACAAACGAAAACGAAAAAATCAATGCAAAACTGCAGCACTCTTGATTCACCAAATGAAGTAGACCTGCTTTTGCTCCGAAAAACAATCAAGTGATTCAGCAACAAAGTAAAAAGGAAAAGAAGTGCTGAGGCTGTGTGATCACTGTGGTTGTATAGCCTGTAGAATTAGAGCTCGCCCTGCTAATCTTCCATCTTAGGATAGTACATCCGGGGCGTCTTTTCCTCGACAATAACAGACAAGCCATGGCCGTTCCTGCGGATGATTTGGATCCTCAACCGAACTTCTTCCTGTGGGGTCAGTGGGGTGACAGAGGTTTCATCTCGGCACCGAGCTTGCAAAATTATGAAATGTATAACAGAGTAGTTTATAGCACGCATGGTGCATGGAGTAGCATGGAGTGCATGGAGTGCAGAGCTTTAAGGGGCGCAAGAGGCTCCCCCTTTAGCTCCATGCTACTCCATGTGATCCATGCACTCCATGCCATGCGAGCCGTGAAACCTTATAAACTGCTCTGGTATAAATAGTGGAAGATTTATGAAATTTCGCATTGATTGACCTCAAGGGGATGAATTTCGCTGCACATCGCTGGAATTTGGAAATGGGTCTTCACTTTTTTTAGTTCTAGACGACTCACTGTTTTGAACTTTTTTACCACGAGAAACTACATACCGAATTATGATTTTTTTTTGAAGTAATGAACATCCCAAATATTAATATTTTTTCAGGTTATTTGATTTGTGTTGAATATTATTTTTTTCATATTAGAATACTTCAATAAAATGAAAAATTACTTCAGGAGTTCATGACTGAAAAAGTCAGACTTTTTTGGGTTTGGAAGGTTGGCCGGAGGTGGCGCTTCGGTCCTGACGAGACAGCCAATGACGTTGCTTGCGTCATATTGTCGAAACCTTTCAAATTTTTCGCGTGGGTTTATGTTGGATAGGTTTTGTTCTTGAGCGTGTGGGGGTAGCTGGTTTCTTTGTGAACGGGGACCAGCCCGGTACTGGATGGGTCAAAAGGTGGCGGCGGAGGGTTTCCGCAGAGTGCGGAAGGCATACACTCAAAGGCGGGCCCAGGGGTTCTACTTTCGTCAATGTGTCGAGCAAATGGAAGCCACTCTGGGGCGAGTCTTTGCCTTACTTGGGCTGGAGTCTGGAAGGGTGCGCCGGGGCTCGAGGGTGAGGCGGGGCAAAGTCGTGGGTAAACCTTCGAGGGGGAGTGGGGGTTCTACTTGTGTCAATGTGTGAACCAAATGAGACTCGCGCCGGGGAGAGTCTTTGCTCTACTTGGAGCTGGGTGAGAAGGGTGCGCCGGGGCTCGAGGTTGAGGCGACGCAAAGGCGTCGCAAACCTTCGAAGGGGAACGGGGGTTCTACTTTCGTCAGTGCGTCCATGAAAGGAAAACCATACCGGGAAGAAGTCGGGCGATAGGGGCACGCTCGGGCGCGACGGGGGTGAGGTGGGGCAAAGGCGTGGGCAAACCTTCGAAGGGAGGCTGGGGCTCTACTTTCGACAAAATGCCCACCAAAGGAAAACCATACCGGGGAGACTTCTCGCTCTACTTGGAGCCGGGTGAGAAGGGTGCGCCGGGGTCGAGGGTGAGGCGGGGCAAATGTGTCGGCAAACCTTCGAAGGAGAGCGGGGGTTCTACTTTCGTCAATATGTCGACCAAATGAAGGCCATACCGGGGAGAGTTCTCTCGCTACTTGAAGGCGGGCGGGGGGGTGCTTCGGGACCTGCGGGCGAGCTGGGGAAAAGGCGTGGCCAAACCTGCAAAGGGGAGCGGAGGTTCTACTTTCATCAATTATGTGCCGACCAAATGGGGGCCATCATGCTGGGGAGAGTGCTTGCTCTACTTAGAGTCGTGCGAGAAGGTTGCCCCGGGGCTCGACGAGGGTGAGGCAGGGCAAAGGCGTGGGCAAACCTTCGAAGTGGAGCTGGGGTTCTACTTTCGTCAATGTGTCGACGAAGGGAAAGCCATGCTGGGGGGGGTTCTTGCTCTACTTGGAGTCGGGTGAGAAGGGGGCGCCGGGGTCAAGGGTGAGGCGGGGCAGTGGTGTGGGCAAACCTTCGAAGGGGAGCGGGGGTTCTACTTTCGTTAAAATGTCGACCAAGTGGGGCCATACTGGGAAGGGTTCTTGTTCTACTTGGAGCTGGGTGAGAAGGGTGCGCCGGGGCCTGAGGGTGAGGCGGGGCAAAGGCGTGGCCAAACCTGCGAAGGGGAGCGGGGGTTCTACTTTCGTCGATTATGTGCCGACCAAATGGAAGCCGCCCTGCTGGGGACGAGGGAGCTCCCTCTAATTGGAGTCGTGTGAAAAGGGTGCGCTGGGGCTCGACGAGCATGAGGGTGGGTGAAGGCGTGTGAAAACCTTCGCAGGGGAGTGGGGTCCTTGTTTCGTCAGTGTGCTCCTGCCCACCAAAGGAAAACCATACCGGGGAGAGTTCTTGCCCTACTTGGAGCTGGGTGCGCGAGGTTTGTCGGGGCTCGATCTGTGTACGCGGTGGCTGTTGCATGCCGCTCGATCTGGGCCCGAGCAAACTTTTTCGGGAACGCGTAGGCTACGGGTGTTGTGTAACAATAAAGAACGGGACGCCAGCATGTAGGAAGGACCGGCTAGGTCTTTTGTGGCTCGTCGTTCTTTTGTTCGCAATAACGAAGGCCCATCTCGTGCGTTGTGGCTTGTTTATATGTTCAATAAGGTTGTAGCGCGGCTTTTTGTAGTTGGCGACATCACCACGGGGGACAGGTGGTCGCACTAGTTAGTATTCAGTATGGAGGCTGCGGGCGCGGAGGTCGTTGTATTATTTGAACTCCGACGGAGCTGGCTCTGTTACTAACTTTCATGCTGGTCGATCACGACCTTCCACCTTATGAGCTTGTCGGCCCCTGCTTCTCCTTCTTCGAGCTTATCGCTGTATCAAGTCACTTCTTGAACTAAGTAGGTAGATCAACATGAAGATAATACAAGTACAACTGCAAGGAAGTTTCTGAAGAAGGGCAATCCTGGCCCTGTTTGTCAGGAAAAACCAAGACTCTGATCCTGTCACGAAAAAAAACCAAGATCCACCTGGTCCTGTCATGAAGCGTCAAGATCTGTCATGAAGCATCAAGATCCCACAAGAAGGCCAATCCTGACCCTGTCAAGGTGATTCTCGACGCTGAGGCCTTCTCCTTCTCTGTCGTTCAGGAGATCATCTAGTTCTGAAGATCAGCCTTTCTGGCATCCTGCTCCTGATTATTGCTGCTCCTAATGAGGATTCTTTTCATCTCATGCAAATAAGATTCTTGACTATCTAAGGTTCAACAACTTATTGCTGCTCCTAATTATTGTCCGATTCCTTGATAGAAAGTAGTAAGGTCGTCAACTAGTAGAAGTGCATGAACTAGTACCTTCGTCCGCCAATCCCAATCCCAATATTTATCTTGTTGTCAGGTTCATTGTCTTCATTGGAGCAATCCGCCTCATCTGTTGAAAAACTAGCGCATCATACTAGTACTAGAACTGTTTTCATCAATCATTCCGGAGATCATCGCTGTGAAATAAATAAAAAGCTATTGTTCTATGAGAAGTACTAAGTGGCCTCAGCGTCAAGAACATTAAGGATCGTTTTTCTGGTAGTAAGTTGTATTAAGTTTGAGTTACTCGCCACACTAAGTATTAACGGATCACGACAGTAGTTGTATTTAAATCTCGACAAAGTTCCCTACAACTCCTACGCAAAATGCCGAGTACACGCGTCGTGCGCCTGGAATCCGAGGGGGAAGAGAACTCCTCGGAGGACGCTTCGGGTGTGAGCGTGCGCGATCTCTCCGAGGAGGAAGAGCAAGATGTAGCTGAAGAAGAGTCCTCGTCTGAAATCGTGGTTGAGGTGGAAGAAAAGGAGGTGGAGTATATGCTCACCAATCCTCATGGTCCGCTCGAGCGTTTTCTCCGGCCGCCCGAAGAAAAGCAAGAAGATCTGTGCAGTTTTTTGTCGTTCTTCATCCCGGCGTTTTGGAACGCCGCGGTACCTTATACTTATTTTAGAACTTAGATTATAACTCTAGAACTAGATGCTTGGAATCAATTTAAACAGGTGCATCTAGATCTAGGTCGTTCGCAAACGTAACGCTTCTTAATAATCATGCCAGGTATTGTGCGAGACTTGGTATCGCGGTTGGATTAAAGACAAGAAGCCGGCGACGGACGACGACGAGGAGAAGAAAAAACAGATGTCGGAATACGTCGACTTATGGCCATTTTGTATCTTGTTGCCGCAATCGATTTAGACTTTGTCAGCCTGTTCTGTATCTTATCCTCATCGACCTAGATTCTGTGTCATTTTTTGTATCTAGTCGTCTTCTCCTGGTCAGCATCGAGCTACCCTTTCGCTTCTTCAACTACGTTATATCTAAAAAAGCCATCTGCTTCTAACAATCGAAGCGTACACGTATTGGATTGACGTCAACCAATACTGGCACGAGTATTTTTATGACCTCGAGCGTCACTTGACGGCGAAAGGCACCGAGAGCCATCGAAAAAGTTTTCACGCACTGACCCAGCTGGATATGGATTTGAAGTGCATCGGATACCGTTAAGGGCTGCGAAAGTCTTATATTATCATAAAAACGCAAACACTCTTCACTCGTCTTTTCCTGCTACTGGAAAAGAGTCATGAATGGTAGTGAGGAATGCGATTAAAGTTCAATCGCGACGATCATGCTTCACTTTTTTTTACCTCTAATACCAAGTCCTACTGGTTGCTGCCAATTTTCAGGAACTTGTGTACGGTGTGTACGGCCAGATTGATATGAAGCGAAGCATCTGGGAGGAAGATGTTAAGGGTTTCCGCGGTGCGTCCTTCACTACCATCCTTCGCCCTTTTTCAAGAGGAGAATAGGCTAAGGATGTTTCTTCAAAGAATGCAATGTGGAAACCTCTAATGATGGGATACTTTTTGCGTGGAAGGGCTCGGCGTACACGTTTGGCATTTTGGAACTTATGGTTGGTTGTGCCTTCGTGTTGGATATGTTGCTGCAGGTAAATTATAATGTACTGACTATCTTTATTAGAAAGATGAAAACTTGCTGCGCGTGCAGCTACTTCTAGTTATGTTTCATCTTTCTTATCGTCCTGAGCAGAACATCGCGCGTTTTTCATTGAATGCACTAGCACCATGCTAATACGTCGGGGCTTTTTTAATATCTTCACTTTTGCTCTAATCTCTGAATGACGGAGTCGCTGAAGATGCTCAGTGCGACGTGTTACGGTGAGCACGTAGTCCGTGATCTGATTGATCTCAAAATGGTCCGCCATCCGAAGTGGCCCGTGAACCATAGATCCATGTGGATGAGCAGTGATGAAGAATCATCCGCAGCATCCAGCAGCGACAATCAGGAGGTAAAGTAAGTTGTTCTATAGTTAATAAGGGGACTCGATCTTCATAGTATAACTAATACGCTGTAGCTAGGGGCTGGCTGTCAAATTGCTGCCGCCCGAGGATAACTCTACTCAACATGCATGTTAATACTAGTTTGAGCCCTTCGCTCAAGGTCCATATTAGTATCACTTTTACACAATCGACACACTTTCCATGATTATACTCGCTCGCGACTCATAGATGATGGATGTGGAAGGAGAGTCCCAACAGGACGACGAGAAAGAAGAAGACGAGGCAGATACAACTCTGATGGAAGTAGAAGAGCAGCCCCAGCAACAGGAGCAGGACAAAGCTGAAAAGTCCCAGGACGAGCAGCAGGACTCCCAGGCAAGCGGAGACCAGTAATACCTTATAAGGTGACAAGACTATAGTTATGCTGTAATCTTCATTGACAGACCCACTCATGTCAAAAAGCACCCACTTGCTCCATGGTTACTCACTTACTTCTCTTCTTTGTTCTCATAGATACCGATATCAGCACGCTAGTCATTTATCATTGCAAAAAATATTAGATCTGCCCGGTGAATGAAAACGAGGAGAGTTACGAATAGGAGGGTGGTTGCGACGAAGAGGAGCGAGGACGGTGGGCAGGAGCGCGATTTTCTTCGGTGATTGCTATCAGTGCTATAGTATCTATGTAATATTAATATTATTGGCGTCGGCAGAAGGACGAAAGCGCGGCGCCTAATAAAAACGGATCCTAATATAAACGTGGCCACTAAGATTTATTTAGATACTTGAATTACTTGACCTTTTTTCTCGGCCTTTTGCTTTCTAGTTAGGTGTGCTCCACCGATATTATAGAAATGAATATTACTAGGGTTACGTTTGTAGAATGAAAGAGTAAGAACAAGACGATTATGAAAGGAAAAGAAGAGTCACGTAATGCTGCTGGAGGAAGATGTTGAAGGGAGCTTATGCTTACCCTTCGGATTACGAAGCAATTGTTTTTTTGTCTTCTAATTTATTTGCATGGGACTATCACGATTATAGATGGTTTTTTCGCAGCGAGGCTAGTGCTGCTGCGGTTCTGAATGAGACGATGCTGATTTTCAGACTTTGGTTTAGGGCGGAAGGATGCCCTTCGACTCTAAGTGAAGACCTTCACGCAGATGGAAAGTCATAGAAGACGCGACATGATGCGAAGCACTTGCGTGGTCCGTCATCAGCGTACAAGTCAGTGCAATCCCTGCTAGGTCGGGACTGAGAAGATGAACGCTGATGCTTTGAGTGTGCTCATGATGATTGGAAGATTTGAGAGCAACATGAGGATGAGAGTTTTCATTACTAAGGAGAGAAAAACATCAGAGAGACGAACCACAGGCATACGGAGGAAAGCAGCAGACTGCTTGTCGTGGAGAGAAAGGCGGTTTAGTAATTCTAGGTTATCTTCGTGTCTATGTGATGAGCTATTTTGCCGCCATCATTTGAAATCGTTAATATAATTTTTCTTTTCATATGGTATTTCTTAGGTAAGGGCGTAGCTACGATTCAAGAAGGATTCTCGTATCTCTCGCTAATCTTCTGCTTCATCATTTGAATTCTTATCGTTGCGCCTAGGGACAATCCTACTAGCTTCCGCCTCCTCTTCGTTCGCCTCTAATAATACTACTACAACTATCAGTACTACTACGACCACCACAAAACACAAAATGAACGCCATGAACGTCTCGTCTGACTCCGACCGCGACGTGAGCATGTCTCCGCGGAAGCTCGCGCAGTTTCAAAAAAAGCAATTGCTTGAAAGCCAACGTCGCAACGACCGCGCCAGTAATGTGGGAATGATGGCGGTACCTTCATTCTCAGCATTCTTATTCCATCATCCCCATTCCATCCAACTTGTTCTTATTCTCGTCATTTCATCCCATTCCCATATTGGATCCAACTTATTCTTATTCTCATCATTTCCTCCCTTATTCCATCTAGCTTGGTTATGTTCATCATTATCATCTCAATCAATCAAACTCTATCAGCTTCGCAACCAGCAGCGCATTGTGAATTATGTTGTGGATGCCACTACCCGTGGTATCTTTAGATTTTTTAGATTTTGTTGATTACAACTTTTTACTACTATTTGGATCAATTATTACTATTGCAAGTGCTACCTTTAACACTACTACTGATGATGTTACTGCTAGAAATGATATCTATCATGACAACATTGCTGACTTATCTCAGAAATCAGCACGTCGCGGCTTTTCAACTCCATCTCCTCTCCCTGCCTCATCACTTACCCTCTCCCTTCCTCATCACTTTTCATCTCCCTCCCTATCGCCAGCTGATACTGCGGCAATGCAGCTGATCGATGATGAGCGCAATATCGCGGAGGAGCAGACGCAGGTGATCCGCAACAACGCTCAGCAGCAGGTGCAGGAGCAGCACAACAACATCAACCAGGAGCAGGCGCAGATGCAGCGCAACATCGCGGATGACCAGGTGCAGCGCCTCGCCGACGCGAGCCGCGAGGTGCTGCCACCTCTCACCGAAGTGCCGCGCATTGGAGCAGAGGCCGCGAAAATCCATGTTGAAATGGGTCAGGGAATGTGCATGTCGATCACCAGTACTCTAATCACTAGATCCAATAACGAAGGTAGAAAGAACTTTTTTTTCAAGAATTTGCTGTGCTAGTCCTTGCATCTATAAACTTTTCGTATCATCATCATCACACCGTCATCATATCCTCATCACATCAGTGACATCACCATCATCGTTATATCTCATTTTCATCACCATCTCCATAACAGCGCCGAAGACCTCCGTGGTCCAAAAGGCTTCCTCTTCCTCGTCTTCGTCTTCGTCGACCCCGGCATCCTCTTCCTCGTCTTCTGCTGCTATTACGAAGAAGGAGGAAAAAGAAGAAGAGGGGGAAAAAAAGAAGAAATAAGATGGTGACGAAGAGGAAAAAGGATGAAGTAAGATAATGATGAAGATAAAGATGACTCATCTTAGATGAAAAAACGCCTGTGAGAGAGGCGTGGAGACGAAGTGAGATGATGTTGTTTTTGATGTACTTTCAATTCATGGATCGTTTGTTCTTGATTTATCTTTTTTCATCATAATATTATTATTCAGAAGTTCTTCAAAGTATCTATTGAGTTTGATCTTTTCTTGTTTATTTTCTTTTACAAAATTTACAACATTTACAATAATTAAAATGAGTGAGGGTAGTTTTACCGCGTAGGGTGCTACTAAGTACTTTTGTGTGGTTGGTGGCACTCTGCCGGTATGTTTTTATATTTTTGATTTCATTAAAAGAATTGAGAGATGTTATAAAGAAGTTTTAAATGATAGTTCTTGTTGTTATTAATGAATTTCATCATCATGATGATCCTTGATGTGAGAATAAAGGTACTCATGAAAATAATTTTCATTTTATAATGACTTCCCCCTTGTGCTGTACCCCGTGATGCCGTCAGACTGACAGCGGGGCTATTGTGCTTCTGGCACGTGAGACTCCCTACAGACTCTACCTCCAGAATCGATTTGTTTCTGTGAATAGAAACTAAAAAATCGAAACATCAAACCCTAAAAATGAATCGTCGATGTTGAAGCAGTTTCGTATTCGTGAAGACAATGCTATTGCTAATTTACGTAGCGATGTGCTTTCATATGTCGGCCACCCGGAACCATTTATGAAGAAGTCAGCGACGAACACGAAAAGACTGCGTTCCACCTTCTGTTCGCATGTCCAAGACCAGGGCAAGCTCGAAGCTCGATGGAGTTCAAGCTCATGAGTCGAGGTGTAGGGCGAAGTAGTGAGTAGTGGTCTATTATATCTCTCGAGTGAGCTGATTCTGAGTGCTCTGTTCTGTCGTAGTTGGCAATGTACTTTTGATGCTAGCCTGAGTAAGTATGTGAGGGTGTTGGCTTCAGTATGCTGCGACATTCTCGGTTATGTAGCATGCCGTGCAGTCCAGTGCTGGCGATTATCGTCTCCAGTGGAAACCTTAGCCTTCATTTTTAACGCCTTCGAAAATGATAGCGGCGTCCTCTCGATGGGCCGATCGGCGAAGGGCGGTCTATGGAGAACTCTTAAGGCATGAAGATAAGTCGTTGCCTTATTGACTTCTTCGATACTTCAGGAAACAGACCTCCGTCGAGTTGAAAACCTTTAGGCTCTCGAAACCTCTTTCCTGTATGTCTATATTGGGTAGCAAACTAGCAAGTTCTAAACGCTGCTGACTCAAGTGAGTATCTGGAGTTTTTACAGGATCACGTGTTTGGAGTTGGTAATGAGGATGCCCTCAGCTCGACCGCGGCGAAGACGATACATGAGCGGCTTTTATGGTCTTCATAAATTCACAACGACGCGACTGCGCCTCTAGATAGGCACTGGAGCATCTCGCATGTGCTCCACCACAATACAAAAGACTCTGGTTTGTTCAACTCTTCTAATGCGTCACGCTTCGATGTGCAAAGCAAAGCAGGACTTTACAAGCCGCCGGAGCTGTCGGGATATGCCAACGCTAGAGCAGCTGGCGCTTTTAAGAGTGCGACAAGAAGTCTTGGCCTGGTCATTTCGTTATCACGTCCGATTTGTTGCAGTGATGTGTCTATAATATTATAGTTGGCTATATGTATACTCGACCCACGTCCCTTCCTCACGTTAAACAGAGGGCGTTTTCGGTCTTGATGTCCATCGGAAGGAGAAGAGCGAGTCTGACTCATAACAGCTACAGCTTCTGGCTCTAACATTTCACGTTGGCACCTTATTAAAGGCGGCGGCAGGTAGTGGCAAGTCTGGCGGTGGCGGGGCTGAAAGGGTCGTGGCCGCAGTCAAAAAGCGTCTCGATCAAATACGAAACTTGCCAGGAGACCAGCTGCCCCAGATTCCAGTAACTCCTATTTTGCAAGCCTTTTGGAGTGGGGCGTATCCTTAAGGGTAGGCTAAAGGCTTCGTGTTGCCGCTTCCTGTGCCGCTCTTGAGGAAAGAGAGAAGGGACGGCATAAGAAACGGAAAAAGTAAATGCTGCAACAGCATACATCTTTCTAATTTTCCATGACGGCCGATGAACGTTTCCAACAGATTCAGGGAGGAATTTTGCTCAATGCGATATATGTACCAGGGAGGGAGGCCCCCCCCCCCCCCCCCCCCCC